ATGAAACCTAGTGAGCCTAGAGATTCTTTTAAATCCAAGTGGGTAAGACATTCTGTATAACCTTGAGCCTCTCTCCTAAATGTTACAATCTTTGTTCAATCTTATGGCGTCCACATCATAAGGATAAAATCATCAGTTACAGTAATGTAAGCATAAGATGGTACCGGTGAACCAAATGGCCACGGTGATGGAATCTAGGATTTGAATGGAGACTGACTACTTAGCTCACTCTAGTCTCGCAGGCAAGGGTGGACCTAGAAAATTCTTTAAGGTTGGGCACACTAGTATGTTTTAATTTTTTTTTTAATAGACCGTAAAAATTCATAAATTTATATTTATTAAAATTATATTTAATACTTTTTAAACATAAAAGATTAAAAATTAATATACTCATAAACAAAAAAATAATAATTAAAATTTCTTATCGAGAATGCGACTAATTATTATCATTTACAATTGACCCTGGTATGTTTTTATTATTTGAAAGTGTTACAAATTAATTTTATTAATAATATTTCTTTTATATAAAATTATGGTAACAATCTTTCATTTATGATCCAATAGTTTACTATTAGGAAGCACGGATACGGATACAACGATACGGCAAAATTCCAAAATATAGGATACGGGTACGACGAGGATATGACTAATTAAAATAATTATATATATTTTTATATATATAACAACAACATTAATAATAACAAACAACCAAAACATAACATTACTTAAATTGAAATAGATCAAAGATTCAAGAAGATACACCCATAATCCACAAAAAAATCAGCAACACAGATGACCAAGACCAAAAAAAAATCCCCAAATTTTGAAAACCCTAAAACCCTAACCCAATCAAATTAACCTAATCAAATTTTTTGAAAGTCCACACTCCACACAGACCAGAAGACGAAGAGGTAAGAGCAGTAGCAGTTCTAGAAAGAAAAATTGAAGCAAGAAGAAGAACCTGCAAGATCGCAAATCGCAGTCGCTGGTTAGTCTCCCTTCCTCTTCCCTCTCCTTCTTCTCCTTCTCTGGTCCTTTCGAGCTCCTTCTCTTCTCTTTTCTCTCTCTTTCTCGAACACAATGAATGTCGATTGGAGACGTTCGGTTCACAAATCAAATTTTTGTTTTGCCCTTTTGTTTTTATTTTTCAAGCCAAAACGACGTAGCTTTGGGCCTTTTTTTTTTTTCGTTTCGACTCCCCTAAGTTTTTAAAATAACAAAAGTACCCCGTCGTATCCCCCACGTATCCTAACCGTATCCGACCAAAAAAAATTACGGCCACTGTTCAAGACACTTCTACAAGTGTCGGATACATATCCGACCATCGAACACGTGTCCGACACTGCCACGGCGACCCCCCAACGAGTATTCATGCTTCCTAGGTTTACTACATAACGACACACATTTTTATATAATAACAAAATAACCCTACAATTTAAAAAAAAATATTATAAAATAACATCAATATGTTCAAAATATGTCTAAAAGTTAACAATTATATTAGTTGTACCTAATTTCAGATTTAATTGATAAAGACCCAATGGTTTGTGACCATTGGATAGATAGTAAAGTTTATTAAATATTAAGACTCACTATTATACCAAATATCACAATGTATTAGATCCTAAAATTATGTTTCAATAATATTGTTCAAAAAAGTTATCAATCATTTAGGTAGGGGTCTATTTAAATCAATATCACCAAAATACAATATTAGAGTGGCCACAATTAAATATGTCTAAATTTTATTTAAAAAAATACATGCTTAATATAAAGCAAAAAAAAATTTAAGGGGGCATGTGCCCACCCTAGCCCAAGGGTGGCTCCGCTTCTGCTCGCAGGGCTGGGCCTGTGGTTACGAGTTGAAGCTGCCATAGCTTATGGCTAAGCAATGGGAGGGGCCCCGGATAATGAGTGCTGCACCCGCTTGGTGGATGGCACGAGCAGCAAACAAGTACTTGGTAGGCTGTTTCACGTACAATCTCTTTTCCTGTTACATTCGGAACACGATATATACTCAGGGTTCCAAACCTCCAATGAGTGACTATAAATGATTATTTCATCGAAGGTTTCCCAAGCAACTTGGTCAAGGTAAGGGTTTAAATTATATCATAAAGAAACGAAGCCAACTCTAGAAGCGTAATCAATGCTAGTAAATGACTAAGGGCCTGTTCGGCACACGACCCAAATGGACTTCCCAGATATGGGAGTGCTTCTACGCCTTTTGTGTATGTTTGGTGCAAAGAACTTACGACTTTTTCGTTAAAAATGTGCCCCCGAAATGGGCATCTAGAGAAGCAAGAAAAGGCAGCTTCTCAAAAAGGCCTGTTTCCACTTCTCGTGAGCTTGGCCTCTATCTTTTAAGTGATTGGGTGACATTCCAATGTTGTCCGTACTTTTTGTACTACGATCTCTATTTTAACCCTATAAAAAAATTGATTAACAAAACAACAAAGAGAACTACATAAATATATACGCAAAGTACATTAATAGGAACTGGGTTTTACATTGGCAGAGTAGAATTCAACTGACATGCATGACAGCTTGATGAAGATTTTAGTAAATGAGTTTAGCTCTTCACCAATAACTCCAATCAATATAAGCAACACAACATTAGAGAGAGAGAGAGAGAGAGAGAGAGAACACATATAATGAGGGAGTGTAATTCAATCCAAGTCGTACCCTCCTCTCTTTGTCTAGAGTACTCCACATCCAAGTAAACCCATTTATCAAATACATGAGCAACAGATCAAGCTTACACCACTCTGATATGTAAAATAATTTCTTGGTGTAAATTGATCTTGACTAGATCAGTTAAGTATGTGTTGTTTTACACTGAGATATTATCGCCAAATATTTTTTCATATAGAAATGTACTTTTTAAGTTCAAATGAAATTCTAAATGCATGTTCACCAAACATATAATGTTTCGTAAACATCCATTTTATAAAGTCCACTTTGTAGAAGTCCATTCTTAAAATAAACTTTCATTTTTGAGGAGTTACGCCAAACAGAACCTTAATATCCTATGACATGACAACTTCAATGAAATTTGAGTCAAGTCAAAATAACAACAAAAAGACACCAAACATGCACAAATATAAACAAACTGACGAGTATATTGACTTGTAGACTGCCAAAAGAATTTATAGCAAATTAACTAATAAAATATCAAATCTATCTAATAAAACACATGCGAGTTTGAATTTTATCCCACACATATTCCGCCCCCCCTCAAAAAAAAAAAACCCATCACTTCTCACACACTTCACTGGTATCATTACCAGACATAGGCGACGAGACCGGCATGTCTTCTCCAAACCCAATACTTGCCTTCCCTTTTTTTTTACCTCCCTCTTCACTCCTCTATCTCTCTCTCTCTTTTTCTATTACCACCATCAAAGCCACAACCACCGAGTTTGCCGCAACCATAGCCATCACTACAGCCAGGTATTCCTCCCCCCCCCCCCCCCAAAAAAAAAAAATTCCCTCTTCTGTGCTAGTTGAACCCAACCCCCAAGACCCTGCAGACCAGACAAACCCCATCCCCCAAAAAAAAAAAAAAATTCTTTGCTAGTTGAACCCACTCCCCAAAGACCCAGCAGACCACACCCAATACAATACACACACATAGCACACACAATACAATACACACACAGCACACACAATACAATACACAAACACAACACACATAATATGCCCCCTTTCTTTGCTTGCCCAACCCCCCCTAAAAAAATTCACACACACACACACAGAACAAACACACACACACAAACACACACACACAACAATACACATGCACACACTCTTTCCTCTCTACCCAACCCACCGAACCCCCCCCCCCCCCAAAACACACAATGCACATCCCTCTCTGCACAACCCCCCCCCCCAAACAAAAAAAGACATAGCCTCTTCCTCTCTCTCCAGCCCACCGAACACACACACAACACACCCTTTCCTTCACCCACACACTCATATTGGAATTTTGTTTGAATTCGATTTGATTTAATCTAGATTTATGAACTTTGTTAGATTAGGTTTAATTTGAAATCAATTTTAATTCGGTTTGATTAGGTTCAATTTAGATTTGTGAACTTGATTTGATTATGTTATTTTTGAATTTGAGTTTTGTAAGAACTTTTAATTTGATACGGATATGTAATTGGATTTGTGAATAACTATAACATTATGTTCGATTCGGATTGGATATGTAATCGAATTGAATTGGTTTTTGTTCATTCATTGAGATATCAATTGATTTAGAAATAAGTTATATTATTTTGTTGTGTGATTGCAGCTGTCCATGATTGATAAATTGGTTTATTCCAATTTTTTAAGAATCTTATGTTTTTTCCATCACTTTTACAAGTATTCATATAGTTGTTCGTGCAGAAAGAATGATTTTCTACTGTTTTACATGTATACATTATTGTACAAACACGTAAATTTTACTTGGTCCATTGAATAGATACAAATTGTTTTGTGGGTCTTCGTTTAAAATAAACAACACAATTTGATTGAATTGATGCAATATTAGTTAAGTATTGCAATTGGTTTCAAAGTTTATTTGTTTAGTTAACATTTTTTAAATGGTAGATTGTGTAATTAGTATTTTATTGATTGTTTATACAAGTTGATAATTTATTGGGATTATATTTTTAGGGGAAATCATGTCCAAATATTTTTAAAATAACAAAATAAATTGTTTTAACCATCCCTCCAATAACTAAAACAAAAGTATGTTGACCCTTTTTATTCACTAAAGTCATGACATTAAAATGAACAATTGATTTTCAGTTTAATGCAGGTCTATGTTCAGTGTTTGATTGTTTCGTGTTCAAGAAATATGGACAATACCTTCAGACATGGGATATATGCTCGAATTTTTTTAATTACACTTTGCCATCAGGCACGAGTTATCTCTAGTATATAAATAATCCATGAGGATAATGCAATTTCAAGAATCTGGAAAAAGCAAAGGAAAAAAAAAAAAAAAAGACTCACAGCACCACAGGAACAACTGTTAGAAATTTCCTATTGCGAGTAAGTTGCTTCCCATTTTCAATTTGTTCCCACCAAGTCAACCTATTATACATTCCCTGGTCATCAGCAAATGGAGTTCCTTTCTTCCAATGGAAGAATTGATAAGTTACCTACATAGACAATTAATGAATGTATCAACAAGTTATGGCAGAGGAAGTGGCATATTATTTTCACAGGTTTAGATCCATAACATCAAATTAAGGCTAACCAATGCTTTAGGAAATATTATGAATGCTAGTAATGTGTTATAGGGAAGAGATAGAGGGAGAAACACATGACTCGTAAAGCAAAGCTTCAAGTTTTATTTGATAAATTCAAAATTCAATACCTTTAAAAGAGATTGTCCAAAACCCTCTAAGACACAAATAATAGTCCTACCACATGAATAAACTAATCCCAACTGATATTGTGATTCATCAAAAAAATTAGATAGCTACCTTGATGTTGTGATTTAGAAACACTCATGCTATTGAAGCACAAGCAATACTACCATACTAGCAGGAACAATACTCATTAAATTGCTTGCCAAAATGACTCCACAACAACTTAATTTATACATCAAATCTAACAAGACACTAGAAAAGTATCAAATACACACTTCTTTCTTCTATGTACTTAAAATAAAGTAAGTTCTACACAAAAAAGAGCTTCCATCAATTTGAAACAGCATGGTACCCATCTTTCTTTGTCAACATGTCCAACAACTAAACACTAGGCATGTTTGATACATATTGTATACCCATACCTATAACATGTAGTGTAAAGTTTGACATCACAACTACACTATTCACTAGTAATATACACTACTAGTCATAACTTGTGCCTGAAGGCACAATAAAATATAAAATTCGAGTGCCCAAAAAATTGATGCTACTATATTAAATTTTTTCAACATGTGTATATTGTTGTATATGAATAATGTTTGAAATAAAAATTATATTAACTACAAATTAATCAAATGATTAAATATGTGATAGAAATGAGTGATGTGATGTTTTAGAGAGCAAATATATAAATGATTAAATACGTAATAAAAATGAGTGATGCGACTTGACGTTTGAGTTTGATAGAGAAATGATGGCTGAGGTAAGTGATTGGTGATAATTTTAAGTGAAAAAATATGTTTGGGATAAAATTCGAAATATGAACTGTTTTATTATATAGATTATTGGAGACAAATTTCATTGGCCAATAGACCTTTTTTAGACAGATTTTCTTTGAAGGTTTGACCAAAAAATATGTTCTATTGAAAACCCAACACCATGCACAAAGCAAAAGATCCCAAGGACATGTTCTCAAAAATACATCTTACATTTTTTAGCAACTGAAGTCATAGCTCTTGTTGTCAAACTAAAAGCAAGCAAGGATATACTTGTTGATGCCTCACTTTGCCCTACAACATTTAAAATGAACAACAATGCCACAGGTTCGACATTTTTCCCACATAAGGTGGTACTTTTCAATAAGCCCAAGGAGAGTTCATGAAATATGCAGATGTTTATTTAAGCTATATACTGTTAGTTAGCACACACATGCGTAGAAACACATGTATAGGAGAGTTCAAATGAAAACAAACTGGATTGGTCTTTGGAATTGGTGTGTATGCCAACATATGTTTTAAATTAATTGATGCCCAATAACTTGGTTCGATAGCTAGTTTATTCCAAGAAGTTTAAATGGTAGATAATGTGAAAAGAAAATAAGAGACATTATTAGATGAATGCTTTTCTTTAGTAAAGCACATACAAGAAGTGATAAATGGTCTTTGACCCGCTCTTCCATTTGTGTTTTTGACCTACTCTTCCATACATTCTCCAGATATTGTATCTATCCAAATGGACCAATAGATACCATCGAATGTTCGCACTTGCACAAAAAATGAAAGCTCTCTGAAGAGGAAATTTTTAACTAAGAATATGGACCTGAGATTTTTTTTCTGCTCTAGAGCAAAAAAAATTCAAGTTTTGTCCAAGGGCAAAAGAGTAGTAGTTAATTGAACAGGAACAAGTTTTTACTATTAAAAAAGCATCCCATGAATAGGTTCAACACTATGAATTCCAAAAGAATTCTTCATTCAATCCGTATATAATGCTTTTGAACCCTAAAGCAATTTATGTGAAATACCTCTCACCAAAACTTGAAACCCTGATATCAAAGAGCTGAAACTGTCCGAAACAGAAAGAAGCTACCAGAACCCCTCATATAAACAATCCAAATCCAAAATTTAAGAGTGACTAACAGCATAAGAAGTAAAAATATCCAAACAAACCCCACTAAATGAGAACAGAATCGATCAAATCAAGCCAAACACTAATCGATAGCACATAAGGAACCGCAATTATTCAAACCCTAAAAACCCAGAAAATATATTTAAGGCAAAATTGAGGAGAAGATAACAAGGGCATACCACAAAGTGGGAGAGATTGACGATTGTCCAGGCCATGCCAGGAGTGCAGCCAAAGATGGATAGAACTAGAAGCCAAGAGAAGAAGAGAATCAATATATAGGTGGTCCAAACCCCAGGGTAGGTGAACCATTCTGTATTCCTGTTCAGATCAGCCGGCGGCACCGCCTTCACGTACAAACTCGCCATTCCCCTCTTGCTCTCTCTCTCTCGCTCTGTCCCCCTAATTTCTTCGATTCCGATTCCGATTCCGATTCCGATTCCGATTCAGATTCCGATTTCGAATTCGATGATTACGTGCCTTACAGCGATGCAAAGAAAGAAAAGAAGTGATCAAAAATAGAATTATAATGCAATATCTCCTCCACTCCGCTCCACCATCTCGATCAATCTCATCACAGTATAACGTTCCGATTTTTATCCGTATGTGTATCGGTATACAGAGAGTCTGCGTGTACGTGCCTCTTAATCTCTCTATGCGTGTATCGTAGATTACATTAGCCGGTATTAATTAGGCCTAATCTCATTTTGTACCCCTAAAAATATTTCAATTCACAATCTATACCCTCAAATATTAAAATGTTCAATTTATAACTTGAATACTATAAATTAATTAATAATAATATAAACTTTGTCCAAATTACCGTTCCATTTTTGATTATATAATAAAATATGTGAGTTGCATGAATAAACACTAAACTTTAGTGGGCAATAGCATTCCTCTTACAGCAATGGGTGATTTATGGTCAAAGCAGCAAAGCTATATGTAGAGAATTTTGCACGAGAGTTGCATGATCTTATCTTCATCAGCTCATTTTCATGATTTTAATTGCTTCATTGAAAGCAAGTCGTCGTGGCATGTCCCCCCCCCCCCCGCCTCTCTTTCTGCTCTGCTACTCCTCACGCTCGTCTACTTAGCTTTCCCTTTTGGACCCTTAAAAGCTCAACTCAAGCGAACCAGTCCACCTCTCTCTCTCTCTCTCTCTCTTTTTTATCAGACTCTTCTCCATAATATAGAAACTCTATTCTGCATATCCCCTCCCTTCGAAGGTATTTGTATACTTATTCTTCTTCGGTTCTTGCACAAAAGACAGCAGACCACGACAAAGCCAATGGACGGCTCTGAAGTCCAACCCTTCTTCATTTGTCCAATCTTTCTAGACATCATGAAGGACCCTGTTACTATCTCCACAGGAATGACGTTTGACAGAGAGAGCATCAAAAAATGGTTCTTCTCTTACAACAAAACTACTTGTCCCGTAACGAAACAGCCCCTCACTGATCAACTTCTAACAAACTCCAACCAAAACTCCTCATTGACAAAGCTCGAAGACTACAAGCCTAGAACCATCTCTTTAATCCATCCAAACCAGTTTAAAGAAGGGTTGCTGCAATCTTCTACGCAGAAGAAAACTCTTACAAAAATCAGATTGTTGATTCAAGAGAATGATGATCATACAATATCGATGTTTGATGCTGATATAGCTTCACTTGTAGCATCTCTCATGGCAGATACAGATTCACAATGCAACTCACAGGGTACTAGTGAAAAAGAGCAGAAATTGTTGAAGAAGCCATGTCAGTGTAGGGTTGTTTGAAACTGCTCGGTGAGAAGCTGAAGAAGCTAGCACAGGATAGGGAAAGAATATTTGATTGCATCTCTTTCTTCCATAATAATGCAAAGTATGAGTTACCAAGCTAAAATTCAAGCTGTTTTCCTCTTAAAGTCCAAATTCAAAGTGGTGGATTATACATACAAGGCTGAACTGAAAATCGATTTCTTCCAAAGCATTGGTGAGATATTGAAGGATCAGAATTCGATCCGTGGGAGCTTGGCAGTTTTATCAGTTTTACTTGAAGTTTTGCCACATGATAACAACGGGAAGAAAGCTGTTGAGATGGGGATTGTTTTGGTGCTTGTAGAGTTGCTTTGTGAGTGCAATGACAGACGGCCATGTGAGAACATGTTGGGTGTGCTAGACCAGTTGTGTAGGGTAGCAGAAGGCCGGGCCACTTTATTGGCTCACCCGGCAGGACTAGCAGCTGTGTCATCTAAGATACTGAGAAAATCTCATGTTGCAAATCATCGGGCTGTGAATGCGTTGTTATGTGTTTTTAGATTCGGTAAGAGTAGTGTGGTGTGGTCGCACAAGAGCTTGTGGAGGTGGGTGGTGTTGCCAAAATGTGCATGGTGATACAAACTCAATGCAGTTCAAAGACTAAACACAAGGCCAGGGAGATTCTAGGGTTTTATCCCAAATCTTCGATTCAGTATCCTTGCTTCCCTTGTTGGTTCATAGCCTGAATATCTGAAACACTCTCTCTCTCTCTCTCTCTCTCTCATTTAATTCAGTTTGTAGCATTAATATTGTCTTTAAAATCTACTTATATATGGCGCTGTCTTTCTTTGTTTGGATGGGGTAGATGGGTTTATTCAACACCTAGAGCTTCATGCGACATGCATGATATGTCTTGGACAATTTCAATCTCATTATGGACTTCTCTTGAAGAATATTTAATATGATTTTTTAAAATCTGAAAGATGAGTGCTTGAATGTTTCATGGAGGTGAGAATTAGTCTCATATCTAAAGTTTTCAGTGTAAGATCTGAGATCATGTTTTGGAGCATATTATGAACTCCTTTTAGTTTTTTGTCCATTTTTCATTCATTCCTCTTATGTTGGCCAACGTATAAGTATGATTAACTTCTTAGGTAAACGTAAATTGTCCACCCCATTGGTTACAACAGCATGCCCATGAGAAGCCACCAACTGTGAAATTTCTTACATCGATTTGTCTGATTTAGGTCACAAAGTGGCTTACAACCACTTTTATCCTGGTCTATATGACATTTTTGTGTTCTGAAATGAAAGTTGTTGAGTGAGGCCGACTTGAATTCTCTATATGATCACTTTTCTACGATCTGTAAGTAATATTAATTGAAATTTAATTTAAGATCTGGAATGGTATCAAGTGTTATACATGAAATGCTAGACAGAAGAAGAAGTTGAACATGAAGATTCAGATCACCGACCATTGGTCGATTCGATTATGATGACTCAGACAAATCAGAGTTGATGCATAAATGTCTTAGAAGAGCTGAGTCGTTTAAGACTGGAGGTTTATACAAAACATAGAACGGTGTTGCAGAAATGCCGATCCGATAGGGCAAGTGGTAACTGACTTATAATTTAAGGCATGAACACAAATTGGGATTCATAAATGGAGTGATAAATAAAAAGTTGATACGTTTGAGCCGTTTTATCACGAAAGAATCTTGCAGCCAAGAAGCTCCCTATCCTCAATGTGAACCGGGCTTTTCTGGATTTGAGCAATGGTACATAGACTCAAAAAATAAACTTAAAAATTAGACTTGATAATCTCAACCATTGATTTCACTATAGGTCCTAGCATTTATTGGGACCTACTACTTATTCAAGGGTTGAGATTATCAAGTCTAATTTTTAAATCCATCTAGCATTACTCTTCTGGATTTTTATCCATGTGCTGCATTAAGTACATAGATTTGGCTGTCTGCTTTTATTAGTTGCAACTTGCATTGATGGAGCACATCAAATTCATTCAGTCCACTGCTGTTCACTTCTTATACTTGCAACTAGCAAAACTGAAATCAATTGTCGATCCTCTGGGGTTTTGAAAATAGTTTTTGAACCATAAGTTTACTTGAGGTTCGGCTGAGTCTATTCAATTACAAAGAGTGTTGGCCTGAGCAACTTAGAACTTGCTACTTCCCAGAAAAAGAGATCAAGGGATTTTCTTGGGAAATTTAGAGCTGAAGTTATTCATTCTACTCTAGCAAGGGGTTGCGAATATCTGGGGTGCATTGGGTCCGAGCTGCATGGGTTCTGTAATGTTCTTAAGCCACATATTCAGCCATGACACTGCTGTAGTTGAGCTGAACAAAGATTGAATCCCAAGTCCGCGAATCCACTGGAACAACTCCCTCCTCCATCTATGCACAAAATGATTGATTCAGTATGCATAATCCACACCTCAAACAACTAGTGCACGAGAAAAAATGGATTCGGAAAAGCATAAAAATAGGCAGACTAAAATATAAATTTGACTTGCCAAGAAGTCATTGAAGTTGTCACGGTGCTCAATCTAGTTAACTCACATCGAAAGCAATGCGACGCACCACAATATTTTAGCATGCATCAATAGCCACAATAGGAGAATGTCATAACTAGTCTATAGCTTCAAATATGTAGCACAACAAAAGATTTAATGGGAGGACCTTCATTTGTTCACAACAGAACTATTAATATTATCAGTATTCACGCATACTTAAACAGGCAAATGGCAAATGGCAAATGTTTGGATCCCACAACTGCCATGTTGAACCAGTTCAAAAATAAAAAATAAAAATAAATTTGCCGTGTTAAAACCACGCATTTTATTATCGGCAAATACACGCTTATTTAGCGCTAAGCAGCAGATATTTATTTATGCAACTTTATAAGACAATTAGTTGGTTAGAAGCCTCGTCTTCCTTTGCTACATCCTCTTGAGTCCCCAGCCAACCAAGATTTACAGCCAGGTCCTCCACTGCTACCTTGATCACATCAGTTCGAACTCCAATATCAGTAGCATATCGGCTCATACAATACATCCCTGCTGTTACAGTAGCCACGCCAACAGGACTAGGCATTAGCAATTTTAAAGGCGAGGAAAGAAGGGCTGCCAATGGTGCACCAATGATGGAAGAAGCTTGCCCACTTCTTCCGACCCCCAACCTGTCAACTGTTAGAAGCCCTGTCTTGCAGTAAAGGGTAAAATCCTCACAGTTATTCTGAAACACATCATAGTTCCCAAAACCATTCTGAAGCAGATGCATTGCTCGGTGGATGACAGTTACTGGTGGGTCGGATGTTGCAGTTGTGCAAGTACCTCCTCGCACTTTGGCAAGGAAAACGGATGGGCTTACTCCATATTCAAAGCAATAAAGGGATCCATTTCGAAGGAAACAATCCAAGCATGAGAGGACCACTCCACTATTGGGTAGCCTGAATCCACAGTCAGGAAAGGTTGGACAGGATGACAAAAGGTTTGATATTTCATCATAGGAATCAATAGAGGTCTCACTGCTTGAATTGACATTAGGTCGGGTAAAATGAACCACTTTACTTCCCCCAACAAAGATACCTGCATTATCGAATAATTCAAAATGCCAAAACCAATAATCATTACTCTTCGTGACTACTAATCAACAACACAGGAAAGGAAAATAGGATTGACAGCTCCCCAGCATATATAGGTGGAGCAAAATATTTGAACATAACATATCTAACCATGTGCGTAAATAGCTACCTAATAGCACTCTGTCAACTAATCTCCACTCCATTTCCCTCCCCAGGAAAAAAAAAAAGGGGGGGGGGGGCACCTACCAACTTGGCAACTGGCCTGGAGGCAGATTAAAAACCAGATAAAGCTTCAATGAATCTATCATAAAGACAGCAAGAAACAGTATAAAACAAAACCATCAAGAATAAGGGCATTCACAAACCAAAGTAATGGTATTTTTCCAACATATGTTGAGCTTAAAGTGTGCCACAGATCCATAGGTAATGAGAAATTTATTTCATCTGCCTCAGCAATTACAGTTACACGCAACATATTGAGGGGAATTGGGACCATAAAGCTATACTAAGTGACCAACTGAATATCACAGAGAAAATAAGAAATAAAGCAGTGACAACAAAACATCCTGCAGCTAAATCAGAGGGCCAATTATTTATGCCAAGAAAACCAAAAACTGACCAATACAAATCCTAATATGGGGATGCAAAGAAAGATGCAAACCCATAAAATCTTGTCCATCTTCAATGCTCAAGTGTTGAAAAGGAGATCAAAGCCTGTTAAGCTAGGAATGCAGATGAGGAAGACAAGAAAACAACTCATTGAATAGCATACATCCTTTCTACAATTTTTCAGTTTCATTAGGTGAAAGCTTCAATTTAAAAAGTCTGAAAGCTATATACATAAATGACAATTTTTGTCGCATCATAACGAAATTAAAGGTCTTTCATTTGCACAACATCCTGTGATAATGCCAAAATGGAGGTGTGGATACATTGTAACAAACTCCAAAAATCTGTAATGCCATGGCCATACCCATGTACAGTTTGTTATTACCTTCCCAAATTTCCTCATATATAGAGAGAAATAGCCTTATTGAAAGCAAGGAAGAAAGATCTATATTCATTGTGAGGCCCTGCCATGTGAAAGAAAAAGTTGAAAATTGGGATATGCGTCTCTAATCAATCCCAAATAGTTAGCACCAGCTGTTGTACTTCACTATTTATTTCATTCAACTTTCAGATTTCTAATAGGATATGCAGGGCTGGCACATAAGAATTTTAGTCATGGAATTTTAATTTCCCATGGTCACACAAGAAAATAACAAAGAAACTTTGACTAGGCAATTGAGGTAAACCTTTACTACACTTTAACTCAGTCCATGTAATTCTTTTTGGTCACTAATTACAACCAACCATTTCTCCGGTATTGTCAGCTATAGGGTTTTCAGCAATCAGAAAGTCCAAGGGCATAACCATGTGACCAGGTAAGAATGTCCACACATGATAATTTTCATGTCCTCAAAGTTTGGTAAAATAAGTTCAGAGGCAACATGCATTCACATTCATTAAAACTATGACATACAGAATCATACAAGTTAATAGAGAGGGATAACAAAAAAGTCTGGAAGCAAAAAAAAGAAAGAAAGGTTGTGAAATTTAAACCACAAGCTCTGACAGCTCAGACAAAGATTTTAAGTATTCAGGAAATTGGAAGCTGTATTTTATGCACGAGGACCTTCAATAACGAGGTAGGGAACTTGCAGATGCTATGAATTTCCTTCAAGTGCAATAATGATTGCGATATATGTAGTCATGTAGCAAGAGGGAGGTAAGTTTTCAAGTTTGTATTTTGCAGGTCAAGTAACAAGATAGCAAGCAATATATCTGACATGGATAATCGCCAATATTCATGAAGTAGGTAAGTTCCCAGTGAGATTTTGATTATTTTATTTTGTGGGATCTTCTCATTACGATTCCTTTCTATACCATGTGTTGGCAATGAGATGGGGTAAGCTTGTGTCCTTGCTTCTACTAAAATGGAAGAAAACCTACATAATTTATGTGCCTTTAGAACTTGCCTAGACCTGCAAAAGGAATGAGAAAGCAATAAAACATAGACCCAACAGTAGTTCTTGTGCCAAGCTGATCACCAGCATAAATAGGAAAATAGATGATCATTGTAGGTGACCAAGGAAAAGGATGACTGGTCGGCCATTGGAATACCACCACCACAAACTGTCATGCAACCGACAACTCCCTATTGTCTCATAACCCTTGGGCGATAGTAAGGAGAACTAGAGAACCATGAAAAGATCAGTTGAATAACTTAACACTATATTTTTGATATACTTTAACTCCAACATGTCCAGAGAGTCTCTTGGTCTGTATGTACACTACCCTCTGTGGAATAAAAACCATTCACACAATGTGCTAGTATATCATTATTTGAATTACCTTCCCAGACTTTAATTCAAGTGGAGCTCATGTTAGTGTACATAAACTGGATTCAAAGTCCAGCTATCAGTTTGAAATTTTAAAAAAAAAAACTCCGAACACCGACTCTGAGGAAATTCTGTTTATTGAATAAACCAGTTGCCCAAATAGAAATAAAAACCTTAATCATGAAGTGCTACCTTATTCCCAAATCCAGCGGAAAATTTGAATTTTGATTTCTGACAAACTGAGAAATATGGATCACTGGGGGAGGAATACTTCAATTAGGTTCCAAATCACGAAACAATTCACAATTAAATATGTTGAATTCTTCTTATGCCTTGCATTATTCTTAGCACTGAAACGAGAAATAAGAGTAAGCAACAAGATATTAGAAAGTCAATTTTCCCAGGGACTCAAAGCATGAATTCACTGGGGACAAAAATTGTGCAGACATATCAGGGCTCAGAAAGAAATTAAAAACCTCTTAGTTACAAAATCTACCACATTCCCGAGGTTGCTAAAGTCTGTCCAATTCAAGGGTCAAAATTATTTCTTGGAAAAATAGGATGCTACAAACAAGTAATCTTCAAGCATGAAATTGAGCAAGATTAAGCAAAACCCAAAAAATAAATTCAGCAGATTGGCAAAATAACGATAGAAATACAGAAGTTTTGAACTTCTGGTGGAAGAAATCGGATTTAAAGATTAAATGAAATTCAGAATTTCAAAAGGATAATCTCACTACCCCAATTGTAAATCCATCTCCTACATAAATTACCAACATATTTTAAAAGAAAAAATAAAAAAGTAAGGTTGACAGAAAAATAGTACAGAATTAGGAGGATAAAAAAAAGTGACTAAGCACAAACAAGGAATCCAAGGAGAACCCATAATTCAGATTTCGGCGAAGTGCAGGAAAATCTTCATTGCTTGGTCAAAACACACACACACACACACACCAGTCTTATATATGTAGAGACAGGGGTGTTTGTTACCATGGTGAGAGTAAGCGAAGACAGCTCTGTAAGTGTAGATGTGATCCCCTGGTTTGATCTCGCTCCTCTCGACTCTATTACTGAGAAGCCCCATTTCTCTTTCTCCCTCTGTTTCGTCTCCTCAGCTCTTGTCTACGAGGTAACTGAATCCTTTTTTCAGATTAAGCTGTTCTCCTAAAGCACATTTGCAAGTTTGGCTTAAACCCACAAACAATCAATCAAACAAACGGACACATTCCACCGTTCGACACTATCATTTGACGGAAAAAAGAGTATAAGAAAAAACAAAATGAAAAAAAATGGGTGCAAAAAGAAAAGGATTGGCTCACCAAACAGTAGCTAAACTAACGTTACCAAATAATTAGAGGGGTGTTATTAAAGATTTAAAAATTAGAGAGGATATCAGATATGATAAATTAGGGAAATGTGGTTCAAATTTTTTTTATTAATTATTATTGACAAAAATCAAGAAAGTGTATACAATTGAATCCGACGTCATCAATAATGACGATGATAATAATGGTGATGATAACGTTTCTGCAATGTTTTCCTCTTTTTGCCTTTTTTTCTCTCTCCTTTTAACCCTGTCTGATGTGCAGACGAAATGGCTATGGCTATGTTTGGATGGTGCTTGGACTCTGCACTTTTCTTTTTCCGATGCAATAGAGTTATTCCGATTCCTTGCACTTCATCCAAGAAATGTTCCACCACAAACCGGGAATCCAAGGCCACGACGTCGTGTTAAGGTTGAAAAACTCACGGCGTAGGCTACGGTTGCTCTGGCATGTTCCCTTCTTTAATTCTTTAAACCATATTACAAAGCTATCTGTTGCCTATTAAACACTTTTCCTGATTAAAGATTTATCAGCATGATTATTCTCTATATAAATACTCTTAGCATGACTTCAAAAAAAAAAAAAAAAAAATTGGAGTACTTAAAACTATTTAAGGTATATATATATATAATACAAAGATAAAGAAGAGAATTAGGTAGCATTTTCTCAATTTTATTTGTTTGATTTGATTGTTACATTAGACCAAAAATTATAGTTGACCTTCGTATGTAAAACCAAATTCGGACATCTTCAGGCGTATTGAGGAAAAAAAGACAAAAAAAAATCGGAGTCCACTAACTTTGAAAGAATAAGCAACTCTGTTTCTTACTTTTCTTTCAGTGAACTTGAATCATAGAGAAGTTAAATAAATTTGTAGGAATCATGTTACAATGCTCTTGATACACATCTCAATGGACAGATGAATAAATACAAAATAAATAATTTTGTAATTGATATATATACTAAATTATAATCTCCCTCAACTAGTTTGTAAAAAGATGCTCCAATTATAGACTTTTACGCCAAAATTAGAATTTTCTTCAAGTAAATGTCTCAATTCCTTAGCAGATTCGGCATTTTTTGCCAGTAGCAAAGCAAAACCCCCACCACCAGCACCCACAAGCTTGTAGCCACAGCAATAGCAGGCCGAAAATGCAAAGAGCTTGTCAACAAATTCATTGCTGCAATAAGGATCAAGTTCCTGATGCAGCCTCCAAGCCTCCAACATAACCTCACCCAACTCATCTATGTCACAGTTCATCAAAGCTTCCCTCCCAACCTTTGCCAGTTCAGCAAGACGCTTGATGCTGGACACAAGCAGGTTGTCCCGCCGGAGATAGCGAATCACCACCTTTTGTAGGACCTGGTGTGCGAGTCGAATCTGCATAGTCATCAAAGTACACAATCTCAGTGAAATTCAGAATTTGAAAGAAAGTCCATTGAAGCTTATTATTTGGAAAGTATCAAGTCTCCTTAACTAAGACCAGAAAATAAAAAGTCCCTTTGGGAGCATCCAACAAAATTGGAACAATAACAACGAAATCCAGCTTGAAGCCGCACAGACAGGGAGGTGACCTAGGTTATTGATCAGCCCAAAAACAACGAAAAACAAAGATGAAATCAACATTACAAGTCTAGATCTAGAGACACAACTCCATACAACTGAATCATCCTAATAGTCTCTTGCTTGTTTTCTAAATCTCAAGGAAAAGAGAACCCCACTCCAATCTTTATTTTAGAATAATCAATAAGAATCTGCAATGTTCGAATTCTACTCATTCAGGTTCCCATTTTACAAACTCAACTCAAAGCTTGCCTAACCACTTGGGATCTATGGCAACTCAGATACTGCTACCAGTATTGTTTAAATGGATAACAAAGCCCCACCTAGGGTAAAAATTATTTAGGAAGCCTAACTATGTGTATCATACCCCCCTTGCATGCCCATATACATTATCAGGAGGAGAGTAGACTGCTTTTCATAAGATTCCATCATTATCCACAATGTTCTCACACTCTGCAAACAACAGTATTGCGGTTATTGCCTATCATCACCAGCGGAACAAGTTTCTCACTGTTGCTTCAGAACAAAGATGATCATCAGATCAAGCACAACCCATACAAACAACCTCCGTCCTCGTGGGACATGGGTTCAATAAAATGGTAGGATCCTCGTCAAGGTAAACATCGATAGTTTTAAGACCATGAAGTTTTTAATGCAACCCAACATATGAAAATAATGGATTAAAGCAAAATTCTTACTTGACCAGTAAAAACCACGAGCATTCGTTGATGCAACTCTCTAGTCAATTGAGGAGAAGCCAACAGAGGAACGACTTGAAGCCGTAACGGTATTCCAGGAAAACTTCCAGTAAATTTAATGCCAGGGTATAAGCCTCCAATTTGATCCTGCCAGCCTCCTCCCGTCCCCATAAGCTGTTCCAAAACCAGAACAAGTCTGGCAACATTTTCATTACTTTCATCTCCATCGGTTATCTGGAGAAGTCCTTTCACAACAGCTGCTGCTAAGATGCTGGAAGTCCCCAACCCACTGCCACGGGGAACATTTGCCCATGTGCGAATATGCAAGCCCATGGATTCAAGGATCTTGTTATCCATAATACCAGTAACAAGCAATGCAGACTTGACAAGACGAAATGGATCTTCGCTGTCAAATGGAGTTGCAATACACGTAAGATCTTCTATATATACCTGGTTTCCAGTATCATCATTAATTAATACACCCGTTCTTCTTATTGTCTCTATGATGGCACCAATGGGAAGAGAACTTTCCAAAGTTATTGCCATATTCAAGACACAGCCAGCTCGCTCCAGGCTCCATGGAGGAGTATCACTCCAGCCCCCAACAAAATCCACACGCACTGGTAACTCAATCTTTACTATTCTAGAGCAGAAAGATTTATCTAGAAAACCATCAGAATTATTCCCTTGATGTGCTGTGGTAGAGATCCTATTGGACGACTCCAAGAGATGTTCTAACAAATACAAAACATAAAAAATTAACCATACCCAGAAAAATGAACTGTGTTTCATTAATCGAAAATATCAAACATATGAACTCCTCATAATGGATTGAAAAAATTGTGTCAATAATCGACCTGGAAAAATGTAAGAGTGAAGCATAAAAATACAATGTCTCTAGTGATGTTTTAGATCATTTCCAGTAGATCAAAGAACTTGTTCTTGTTTCTCATGTTTATTTTCCTTTTTCTCACTACTCTAGTACCTACTATGCTCTACTGTACCTTTGAATCCGTATCTCACAGCCGAAGCAGTTTCATCGGCCACTGCAGCCCAAACTCTGTGCTCCATTTCGCATGCCCTTGTTTCTTCACTCAATGCTCGGAGAAGATCAACCTCCACCTGGTATGCCCTGCTTTTAGGTAGGATCATTGAATTTTTTGCCTGAAGGTTGGGACACCTGTATAGAAAATCTCTGCAAATCTTGACCCCAGATGCTTCTTTTTGCAAAATTTCTTCACACAGTTGAGATAAGTTGCGCCCAAGCAAGCCAAAATTGAGGCAAGCCATAGCAATTCCAGCTGCAAGATCTGCTTGATGATTGCTGGAACCTAAACACATTTGTTTAAAGTCAATTGTTTTATGCAACTCCTCCAAACTGATGCGGTGCGACCTTTTCCATAGCAGAAGCAAGGATTCGTTTCTCTGGTTGCTTAATCCCATAAGCCATGTCGCCAGACTAAGCATCTCAAAGTACGAAAGAATGGGGAATACCTTGGCATTCCACAAGCATTTTTCCTGAGTACCTGTTAAGCTCCACATGTCACTTTCTTGAATGCCTAAATCATCTAAGACCTTCTTCCAGGGTTTCCCACAAAAAGTCCCATCCTTTGAAAGTGAAATTTTTGGGTTATCATGGAGACCACAGTACACAATAACCCTTTTAGTACATCCTATTAAGGGAACCTGCCAAAGGCAATGGCGGTCTGGAAGCATAAACCTGATTGAATCCTCTGCTGCCCTACTGTTGTTTCCGGGAACATTAACCCCTACAACTATAGATTGAGAACCAATCTGTATCCCATCAGAAATGGATGAATCATATACAAGAGAATCTTCCCCAATTGAGACACCAGGCGCAATTTTACTAGACAGAATAATGGCAGATGCAGCAATATCAGACACGGTGGTTGCTGGAATGGAACACAGGTGCCTACGACCAACAAGTCCTGAATCAGTCCCACTCAGGTGATCCAAAACTTCACTTGAGGTTCCAAAATGCAAGAACTGCAAATCATCTGCAGGGAAATAGAGAAAAAAATGGTGGGATTTTCTAATTACATGAATGTTAGATATGCACTCTAATAAATGCGACATATGCATTGTATATGCACAAAAAAGGTTGCTAGAGTAACAAACAATGAGAAATTTTTTTTATTGAGAACAAGGGCAGCGTCAAAAACCAATTAATATGATTAGAACAACACCACCACTAAGACAAACTTTAAGAAGCATATGACAGCACTCTTCAACATACAAGCACAATAGCTGAACATCTTTCGTTTTCCCAATCTATAGACAAGTTCTTCCCCCAAAGGGCGTGGTTGCAACCATTCATGCTTTTCAGGTACCCAAGCAGCTACAAGATCTTCATACAAACTCATCTGCACAAGTTACAATGAATTTGTTACAAAATCAAAATATGTCATATTCCTGGAATCCCCAAAAAATTTTAAGTCTAAAATCCAAATAAGAGAGTTTTGCAACAAAACAACCATAAATAGTTCCTCATTGAACTAGGAAAAGAATTACAACCCAGGAATAGTTGAGGATGGGCACATATAAGAATGCATAGGAGTTAGGACAATACTTTTCAAAACTAAAAAATGGAAAGAATAAATTGTTGAATTTGATGACCAAGGAATATTTCAAGTAAAAACTCCCTCAAGTTGGCTTGATCATCCATTGGAAGGGAGAGATCAGGAAAGGGCATCATCCATTAATCAAAGGATGGAAGGAGTTGGAGAAGGTCCGAAGCTGGTGACGCACTATGGCCAAGAATGTTGTGCGTCATTCAGAGATAAAAACAAGAAATGACAACAAATAACCCACTCATGAAAACATAGGATGTGAACAAGATGGAAAGGACTCACTTAAGATTGCTCAATGACATGGAATGAAGATAAATGACAAGAGTAGAAGGGGAAAGTTATTTTGGAAAGACCAGAGGATGGCCAACGGCCAAAAGAAGTGCAATCAAGGTTGTGGGAATCAAAATGACAACTAATAATTTTCAGAAGATAGGACACTCTAGGATGAATAGAGCTGAATGTTCAATCATTCTTTCTGTGGCAAATTACACTTACAACAGCACAAAAGAGTCAATAAAAACAATACAACAAATCGATGCTATCCTTAAGCTCTGCAAGCACATGGCAAAGAACTCTAATCTATCCACAATTACAAATAGAATGAAATAACATAAAATAATATCCTGATGAAAGCACATGATCCCACTAAGTTCTAGAGGAACTTTAGTGGGCTCCATGCTCAGTTGTCAGAAGTGTGTCTGCAGAATCTAAAGATATATAGAAGCAAACATGTAGAAAATAAACTCACAAGAGTCTAACAGAATGGACCTACAGGCATCAACAAGAAAATAGGAAGTACAAACCATAACGTAACACAGAACATATCCAAACTGTCCACAGAAAAGAGGAGGCATATGATACGAGGCACACTAAATATGAAACTAGTCCTGATAACCTACTCGTTACTAATTTGCTGTGAGATTTCATGCCAGAATAAACACAATTCTTCGGTAACGCAAAGCAAATCCTATAAAATAAGACATTATATAGAACCAAGAGGTGGACTTGACTAAATCACTGACAACTGAAAAATGGGTGGCTTGCCTCTTTTCTGTTTTCCAGGAGCTCTGAGATCATTAATTGACTGGAACAGGCAAGCGTGACAAGATCCACCCATGCTTTACCTCTAACTGCTATTATTCCTGTGTCAAGCAGTGTTCTTCCATCATCTAGAATTGCCTGATGCTCAACAAGCTCCTCCACGCTAGGTTTCTGAAGTAGATTCTCAACTAGACAGACTGAATAGCCTTCTTCCAAAATCCCAGATTTAGATGCCACAATTACACCATGGTTGGAAGCAATGTCAAGGGTGATAGGAACAGTGATAATGCAGGATGTATCCTCTGGGAGAACCATAGAAGAAGCATCAAAACAAGGAAGTACATCCCCAGTCATGATAAATAACCCACCTGCGGCGATAAAAGCGCTGCTTAGCATCTACGAGCCAATTGAGATGAATTGTACAACAATGAACACCATTCCTTTTGCACAATTTAAAATTTTACAAAAGTCATGCATAGCAGGGATTGAAAATAATTATCTCGATAACCAATATAATACCCACCAAAATAAAGAAACAATTTAAAAATATCTTCCAAGCTATAAAAGCATGTAACTACGCTCTTTTTCCAAACTACAACACAGTACCAGGAGATGTGAATTCTCTTCAGGTTTATTTTCCATAGAATCCAATTGGAAAGGTAATATAACAATTTATGAGATTAGGAACAGAGGATCATAATTTCTACAAAACATGCAGGGGACTGCCATGCATATACCCAACAAACTCATGGGCATTTGTGAGAAAGGAAAGGGAATTCGATCTTAGCCTGTAATCAGCTACCTACAAGTTGCCCTCAATCAAGCACTCTCAAAGGCCTAAACCAGAAGATACCATCAGGCTTTCCCAGAGGGCTCAAATACTGGTCTCAATTTGAAAACACACACCTGTAGGTCTAGAACAGAATTTTAAGTTTATTTCAACTTCGCCTGCTGCAAATACTCAGCCTGTGCAACCCTTAGATGCAGCATATTAATCATAAGACATCATATTAGCTAGGAGATATGTAGTGAAGTGGAATATACAGTTTCTTACAGCTAGCTTGCATGTGCATTGACACCAACACAAACCAACTTAAGACTTGACGGATTTCTAATCATAAATCTCTTTAGCTAACAAATGGAAATAGGTAGAAAGAACTTCATATCTAAGATTCTAATAACTGGGAAGGCCTAATATCGACTGTCTTTGAATAGTGAGTACAGTCCAGTTTCACTTTAACGTAATAAACAGGGCAAGCAACCTTCATTTTTAAATGCTTGTCTTGCACAAGAAGAAATTGCAAGTATGTGGTCAAAAAGCAGGGGAACTGGCCCATCAGGGTCATCTGCTGCCAGGTAGGGAAGTGGTAGGAAAACTTTCCCCATGGGATTCGCCCATGGGACCCTTTTTGAGTCACCTCCTGCGTGAAGCAAAAGTATATGCTTTTTGTCTATGAATGTAACCATTGAGGCAGCAACTTCATCATTGGACCTTTTGCACCGCACGGAAGGTTCAGAACTGCAATTGCTTGCATTTGCTACCTGCTGATGAGAAATAATGTCCCATCAAAGCAACAATCAATTGTAGAGCGCAAATAACTACCACTTAGCAGCAAAAAGATTGGTGTAAGACACTATATCCCTTAAGGAAAAACATAACAAAGCCAAGTCCAACACATGCAGACACTGACACACACGCACAAGCGAAGAGAAAACCTTAATTCTATTCTATCCCTCTTTAACATAAAAAATTATATATGAAGACTGAATGAACTTCAAAAGTAGCAAATTCCTTTGGAGGCTTCAAAGTTAGCAATCATCCATACTGCTTCAAATGAGCACTTTTTTGGCCCAACAGTTTCACAATATGTTTTTCTTCAAGGTAAGTGATCAAATAAATTGAAGGAAAGAAGAGCCACTTAGGAATCATTGGAGAACTTTTCATCACACATTACCCGTTTCGAAGAATACTGATGCAGTAACAGTCTTGTTCCCAAAAATTTAGAAATGCTCAAATCAACCAAAGACACAGAGGTATTGTATATCATCATGTGTAGGCTCTAAACTTAAAAAACACATGGCTTTACTTGATTGGGGTGCTACCATTATTTCATTAACAAGCTTGGTATCCCAATTATAATCCACAGCCATATTATACCTATCTATCTATTCAGTAAAAGGTGCCCTAAAATTTGAAAATTTCACAGAACTTCAAGTCTGTAGTCCGCAGATGTAGCAGAACTGTTTCAAAGAGTAAAGCAAACTGAACCACCATAGAAAACCAATTATACTTTTTTTTTATTTGTTCTAAGGATAATTTGGCCATACCACTGGTCAATATGAAAGGGAAAAGAACTATTGTGATAATCCATCAACCTAATCAGGATTGGTTGCAAAGTGCTAGATGCAACAACACAATGGCAATTGACTTCTAGTCGGCGTCTACTATGATTGGGCAATGTGGAACGAACAATTATACAAGTTGACTAAACAGTATTAGTAAACCACCAACGAAGTTTAAGCTATTAGACGATGTGTAACAAAACAAGCTCACGTGGGAATTAAATTTTGGGTCAAACACATACAAATCTTAGTATCATCAAGGTGACAACGAGATTCACATATAAGATATCCGCAGAACCTCATACCTTGATACCATATTAATCTCCAACTCATTTAAAAGCTTAAAACATATAAATGAATTGGTGGTTTAAAATGGTATCAGGGAATTCAAATATTGAGTTTAAACCAAATAAACAACAGCATCCTTAACTTCTAGCAATACTATCATGGGGACGGACTATTCATTGACCCTTCATTGGTGGAAGTATTAGATAATTCTTAAATTGCAATTTGCAAAAGTGATTAACAAGAATATTTTGATTAAAGTACGTTAAACCCGAAAATCTGTTGGGTCATGGTTGTAATATGCATTGCATCGACCATTTGATGACAACTATACAAACAATATCAACAGTCACTGAATACAGTATCAAGCAATGCAAAATGCTGTCGGTGATAACACTATTAGTAGTAGTGACAGAATTGAAGTACCTGTGGTCCGAGGGCTTCAAGACGTAGCTGCTCGTAATGGCGAGCAAGGGCATAGATAGCATTGAGAGTGGCAGCTCCGGAACCGATCCTTTGACCCTGCGGATCGGGCACGGCTAGAGTGACAGTGGATGTGGCGATCCGACCCATACGTTTGGCACGCTTGAGATGCCACTCGTAGAGCTCTGCTTGCTCGGGGCTAGCCGCCGTGAGCACGATCGCGTCCCATGTCGGAACCCTAGTCGGATGACGTACGGACAACCTAAGGTGGTACCATGATTTCCGTAACGTTCCGGCTAAGTCGGCTTTCCCTCTTGTCCTCCTCCTCGATCCCTTGTTTTCCATTTTGCCCCTTTCTTGAATTGAGTTGCAGAGATGATAATCAAAAGCTAATTAGTATATCTGTGTGTTAGCGATAGAGTACAGTACAGATAGATTGATGAACATGGCAGTGAAGGTGAAGATTTGAGTGACTGCTATACAGAAGAAGAAGAAGAGGAGCAGAAACCGGCGAATGACAAATGGGAACGTGGCCGTGGGATGGGTCAAGCCGAAGGGCATAGCTTAAATCCAGTTTATAGCTTAATGCCACTCTCAGTCCATTGCATTGACACTATAGCTTAAACTCCGAGTTTAAAGCCCATCTCCAAGAAATCCACTAAAATCAGCTTAATGCGATTAAGTCGGGCAAGTTCATCAAAAATTAAAGAGCAATATCAAAAGGGAGTATGCAAGAATTATCCAATAGCCTCCTCTACTACCTTGGAATAAGAGTCATCTAAGAACTTCCTCTACTAACTTAGAGTAAGAGAGCATTCAGGAGTTTTATCCTCGCCGTTTGGATAGAGTCAATCTTCCATCATTATTTGATCAAGTCTTTTTGCAAAGCATCATAACTTTCTTGCTCATTGAAGAGAGGAGAGGTCGTCAAGTTATTTAATCACCGTTAAAGTCACCACAATCCGTTATAATTATTAAATGGCTCCAACTCGTTATAACTGTCAGACTAGTTATTCAATTACTACATTAAACCACTATAAATTGTAAACTCTATCAACACTTGAGGGGCATCCCACATCATCATTGAGCATAATTTTTTCCTCCTCTCTCAAAGCTTCAACATTCTGCTCTCCTTTCCGCACTAGAGATAATAAAATATCGGCGACCCTTGCCATTCAAAGTGGATGTAGGTCACGTTGACTGAACCACTATAAATCTTGTCTTCTCTCTCCCTCTACTTATTTTACTACATTTTATACTGTATACTTGACAGGTGGTGTATAAATCAATTTTGTGCATCATCAGTTTGATGTCGTCTATGGGAACGACATAATTCTCACATAAACACTTTTTTTTGCTGAATCAAAGGCGATCATCGTCAGGATCTATGAGTTAGCCTAAAGACAATCTAGCACGAGAGGAGGATGTTATTCCTCCACCTATCAATCTCGTCCCAAATGCACAGTAGATGCTGGACATAATGCAACAACTTGTAGCCTAGAACCAACAGATTTTGCAACTAATGCTCAGACAACAAGAAGGAGCACAGCCTGGACCTCAAGTTAGAAGAGCTCCACGGCCTAGTTAGTAAGGAGCTCCCCACCTAGACGTTCCGCATCTACCTATGGGAGCCCCTTTAGACACCCCACAACCTCCTCCTCCAACCTCTGCAACTACTCCCCATGTTGGAGACCCTCTTTTTTAAGAGGATAACGGTGAAAACCAAAATATAGAGCATAAAAGTCATGTCCGTGATAATTCCAGAATACCTCCTCCTAATCACTAGAACAGAAAAATTCAGGAATTCCAAATTAATTGGGTGACATCTTCAACGCCATGAAGGCACAAGGACCGGAGACAGTGGACTACCTCATAAGTCGAACCGACACACCTTTCAAACTTGATGTGGCGAACTACATACTCCCTCAAAAATTTAAGATGTCATCCGTCGAAATATTTGACGGTACAAAGGATCCACTGGACCATCTCAAAACTTTTAAGATCTTAATGTAGCTGCACAATGTCCCGACGAAAATCATATGCAGAGTGTTCCCAACCACCTTGAAGGGATCCACTCGATAATGGTTCGCTAAGCTCTCCCCAGCCTCTATTGGCTCATTTACTGAGCTGAGCAAGTCCTTCGTGTCACACTTCATTGGAGGACGCCTCTACCAGAAACTTGCTACCCACCTTCTTAGCATAAAAGTATGATCGAGACGAGAGCTTGAGGAGCTACCTCACTCGTTTTAACGATGAGGTCTTTCAGGTCGAGGAGCCCGATGATAAGGTTAGCATGACCGCCTTGCTAGGAGGTCTCTGGTCATCAAGCTTCCTCTTCTTAGTGATGAAGCGTCCACCAAAGGGTATGTCAGAACTATTGGTAAAAGCTCAAAAATATATAAATGTTGAGGACATCAACAAGTCGAGGTGAGGTGAATCATCTCACCGGTTGCTACAAGTTTGATCTATCTCTACACTGCTCTCAAGCAAGCAACCCATTTCTAGCTGAGCGGCTCTCTCACAGGTCGGTAAAAGCTTGGCCTCTGCATTTTTCTCAAACAAGAAGCCAATATCTCTAACTTAGCGACTGTCTCGGGTCATCTAAAAACTTGGCCTCTGTATTGTTTTTAAGCAGACAGCCTATTTTCAACTGAACGACTCTCTCACAGGTCGCCAAAAGCTTACCCGCTGCACTGCTTTTAAGTAGGCAGCCTATTTTCAACTGAGCGACTCTCTCATGGAGCGCCAAAAGCTTGGTATCTACACTATTCTCAAATAGGCAGCCTATATCTCTAGTTTAACGACTCTTTTGCGGGTCACCAAAAGCTTGGCATTTACTCTGCTATCAAGCAAGCAGCCTACTCCTCAAGCTTAAGGACTCTCTCACTGGTCGCCAAAAGCTCGGTCTCAAAAGGTGTATCTCTCTTACGAGCAATTCTCAAACTCTGTCTTTACTCTCACGCAAGCAGCCTACCTCTCTTTTCAGGTAATTATGTTAGATATTTTAATATTTGGAATAGCATTATTTTTGTCATCTCAAGTCAGGCTCTTAAAACTCAAGTCGTCTACAACCCGAGGGACTACATTAAATTGAAGGTCAACAATCGGGTTTCATTCTTTTGTGTCCATCTGGCACCGCCACCTCGTTGCCGCAGCATTCCACGCTTAACACCTAGCGCAACACAAGCTCTACTTGCACTTGCCTCCAAACCGTGCACCTCCATCGCGATCAACAAAATCGCCAGCCAACGACACCCAGTACTATGGGCTCCTCTATAGCGACGTCCATTGCAATAGGGGCCTTTGTAGCAGTGCCCAGCACCATGGGTGCCTCTCCATTAGTACCCAACGCTAGGGGTGTCAATCGTGTCCATTAGTACCCACTTCTAGGGGTGTTAATCGTGTTGGTTTAAACGGTTATATGTCGGGTTAAACAGGTGAAAAATATATAACCCGATACACGACACGTTTAATAAACGGGTAAAAAATCTCAACACGAACACGACCCGTTTAATAAATGGATAACACGACACGACTCGTTTAACCCATTTAATTTTAAACAAATTATATCAACAAATTTTAATACTCCATTTTTTTTACTACTAATTGCACTTACCTCAAAAAAGAAAAATTTTAAATCAAATCTCATAAAAATAAAACTTGAAGAATTTAAAAAAAAAAGCAAGAGGCTATTGCTTTTTATAGGTAACTCACCCTCCATATCTCCTCTAATTTTTCAATGTGGGACAAAAATAAAAGACATTAGTTTACCTTTGTCTTTCAAGTGTCATACAACTCCTCTCCTTTGTCTTTGAAAAATAAGATTTGAAGACTTTAAAAATAAAACCAAAAGGTCATTGTCTTTTATAAGCAACTTAACCCTCCCCATCTCCCCTCATTTTTCATTGTGGGACAAAAATAAAAGACATTTGTTTGCCTTTGCCTTTGAAGTATTCTCCAACTCTTCTCCTTTGTCTTTGAATTACTACTTTACTTTTTTTTTATTATTGATTTCTTTACTTCTTTTTTCTTGCTAATGTTTTAAAATAATTATTAATTTATTATTATATTAATTTTATTTAAACGGGGTAAACGTGTGATGAACAATTTGACATGTCTCACCTAAACACGACCCGTTTATTAAACGTGTTTGGCGTGTAAACCCGTTTATCACTCAAACCCGTTAAGATCTCTCCCAAAACTGTTTAATTCATGTCGATTAATTGTGTCGTGTCGAATTTTGACAGCCCTACCCAACACATAGGGCATCCCACCTGGCACCATAGCGCCAGATAGTCAGCGCCCCACGCCAATGACGCCCCTACTCTCGTGCCCCTCATCTCAGTCCTTGTGGCATGGGTCGCTATCTCAGTCTCGACATCCTTAGTACCCAGCTCTTGCGCGAGGGCTCTCCATAAACTCCTATTTGACAAGACTGCCAAGGTGCACAGCCTGCTCTCCTAACAGGAATCATCGCCTCAGTAGCCTCGCTCACCTGGCTTGCTAGCCTCTCCACAGCGTATGCTCCAATGCGCCTAGCTTGCACGTTAGCGGCGCCCCGAGGCAAGCCCATACACTTGCGTACCTGGCTTGCTCGCCCAATTGGGGTCACCACAGCCTGGGCGCCCAATCCCTTTCTTGCCTGACTTGCTCGCCAAAATTGGGGTCTCCATAGTCTGGGCGCCCAACGCCTTGTCCTCACGCACTCCAGACACGTGCATAGCAGGCTATTCCCCCAAACCACTCCTCTTAACTACCTGCTCTTCTTCTTCGGGGACAACAACGATCTCTTCAAAAATCTAAAAAGAAAAGTGAAAGAAGGAGTTTGTATTGTCAATGGAGTCCTACAAGTAGAAGGAGTCTACTGGAAGGGATGGGGTCGCCGATCAAGAGGAGTTTTCAAAAAATTCGGATTTAAAAAGGGTTTCACGCTCTTTTGACCATAATTTTTTGATCCGAAACTCCAAACAGAGCTTATTATATATCAAATTAAAGCTCTCGCGCGATCCCTACAAAACTCACTGCCTATGACAATGAAAGACGCTGTAAAAAGTCCAAAAATGGCTCAGAAACAGCTGTCTGCTCGCCCAGGAGGCTGTCTGCTTGCCCAAAACTATGCACCCGATGCTATTTTGACTGTAACTCTGGATTCGAACGTCAAAATAGGACTTATTATATACCAAATCGAAGCTCTCGAAGAGCTGAGCAAATCTCATTACAACTTTTCAAAAAAAGTACAAAAAAGGCTCAGAAAGAGGTGTTTTGGCCTCTCGAATTTTTTTTTTTAAAAAATAAAAAATTCTGCTTGCTCAGAACAGTGCCTTATTCGCCCGGAAAACTGCCTGTTCGCCTAGTTCTCTGCTCGAAGTTTTGACCATAACTTTTGCTTTGTTACTCCAAACGAGGCTTATAATATATCAAATTAAAACTCTCGACTAGCCCTACAAGACTCACAACTTTAATCTATGATTGATGCTGTTAAAAGTTCAAAAAAGTTCTATAAATAGATGTTTTGGTCTTGAAATTTTTTCAATTGTGCCAGTTAGCTAAAAATTCAAACTCAAACTGAATGCCCTCCTTTCCAAGTTCTGTTAGACGCATGGCATTGGGGGCAAATGATAGGCCAAGCCCAAAGGCCTAGCTCAAATTATAAGCCCAGTCTAAATTTATAGCTCATCTCCAAGAGATCCAGCAAGTCCAGCTCAATGCGGTTAATCCGGACAAGTTCATCAAGAATCAAGGAGCAATATCAACAGGGAGTATGCAAGGGTCATCCAAGAACCTCCTCTACCACCTTGGAGTAAGGGAGCAGCAGGAGCCTCAATCTCGCCGCTTGGAGAGAGTCAACCTTCCATTATCATTTGATCAAGTCTTTTGAAAAGTATCATAACTTCCATACCCGTTGAGGAGAGGAGAGGTTGTCAAACTATTTAATCAACATTAAGGTTACCTCAATCCGTTATGACTATTAAACGACTCTAACCCGTTATGACCGCTAGACTAGTTATTCAATTACTACATTAAGCCACTATAAATTGTAAACCCCACCAACACTTGAGATATTCCACTCATTTGAGCATAATTATCTTTTCTTCTCTCAAAACTTGTAACATTCTATTCTCCTTTCAAATTAGAGATAATAAAATATTGGCGACCCTTGTCATTCAAAATGGACATAGGTCAGTGCAAATTAATTTTGTGCATCATCAGGTGGAGTCACTGGTCAAACCGTGGGAGAAGTCAAGACGATGTCGTTTACAGATGTGGTAACATTTTATTAATACTTTTTCCCCCTGTTTTAAACTGGTATTTTTTAATTAGTGGTTGTTTAGTATATATATTTGTTTTTAAATTTTTTTCTTATCCATGCTTACTCCGTTATTCAAGATTTAATTATGCGTTCCAATAGACATATGCACGAAGAAGTGTATTACTTATGTATTAATATTTATATGAATTAATTTTATTATATAGTGATCGTATTTAACTTTATTTTTTTAACAAAAATATTTTTTTTCACTTAAAAGAACATTGCGAAACAATTGTTTATTTATTAGCACGAGACACATTAAAATTTTAAACTAGCGACTTCAAACTTAATAGCAAAAGCTAAAAAAAATTGTGTTTGTTAAACACAACTTCAAACCCTCATTTTTTTTTCTAAGAATGAGTCACGGAGAGAATGACAATATCTATACCGAAAGATTTTTAAAATTTTAATTTATATTTTAAAATATTAAATTCTTATATTACACCCTTAATTATATAAAAACATAAATAAGGGGACTGTTATATGTTATTCAATATAAAAATTTCATATAAAATACTTAACGTTAAGTAATATATGAATAGTTGTGTACATAAGTACAACATATGTAATTATTCATAAAAAAATTATTTGGACAAAACATAGAATGTTTGATTTTAGACTACATTGTTACTTTCTGTATCATTAAGGGTGCACCGAGGAATTTTCAAAGGGTAACGTGTTACTTACACTAAATTATGTTTGATAAATATTATTTCAAACACAATTACTTACCGATAAAATTTTAGGCGAAATAAATGTAAAATTTGAAATATCTCATTTTTGACATATAAATTTTTCATAAATCGATAACCACTTAAATGCAACTAGGCCTAACCTAGTTGGCCTTACTTGATTCTCTAAAGGCCTCTCAACTATGAGGTCAAGTGATTAATCTTCAGTAATGCTAGATTGATCAAATTTTGAGACCAAATTTAGAGTTCAAATGATATTGCAGTTGACTTGGACTTCTTTGATTGATGTCATGTTATTTGGGTCCCAATAAATATTTCAAATAATCAACTGTCATGTCATTTGAGCCATACATTTGGTCTCAAATTTTGATCAATTTAGGATTACTCATTAATCTTTGTCAAAAGTCAAGATTATTATCTTACAATCCCTTCTTTGGGAGTTGTACTGATATGTAAAAACATTGACTACTTAATTTTGTGTGCATTAAGAAAACAAAGAAGCTCATTGGTAAATGGGCATAACACTTCTATTTTTAACTTGATTCATTTTCAAATTTACATTAATAGTTTAGTTCTTTTCCATGTTACAAAGAATAGCTGCTCGTGTGGTTGCTGAATGAAGTTGAGGTGAATGAAGAGAAATTATAGTGTGATATTAGAAAATGAGACAAAAAACTACTCTATATGCGTAACTTGGAATACTAGCATATTAGAATCTATAGTTTGATTTTGAAATTATGTTAACAAATACAAAAGTAACTCCAACGGGTTAGTTCAATTGCACACGCTCCTCTTTATAAAATAAATTATGTGATCGAATCTTACTACACCATTGAAATTACTTGCACAAACTCAAGTTGGTTTAGAGAACTAGTTTTGTGGTATAACTTAAGGGATTCATAATATTTATGATCATGGTTTGACAATTGGACAAAGTCACGTGACAATTAACACGTGCAGAAAAGAGTCATTTGAGGTGGCAGCGCCTTAATTGAACAAACCAAGTCTAAAATCGAATAAATTGTAACTTAGCCGAACAAATTGAAAAAACTGGACCATAATAGAAAGAAATCAATTAAATGTGATATGCTCGATGGATTAACATTCTTGATCAAAAAGGTTTGTGTCGAGTAGAATCTGATGAAATATGCTCAGAAAGAGACTAAAATTTGAATAAGAAAGCAACTTTATCTAATAGATATGAATACCTATCCGAACAAATAGCTAGGCTATCCCCATAAAACTCAAGGCAGTTGACGAGATAAGGTATGAGTATTGACTAAGGTACACATTGTAAACATGTGATCTATAAAATTGCTTAGTGAAATTGGAAGTCAGATTTGTTTACAAGTTGATTGAAAGAGTTTAGATAGGTCAAGGTGTGCCACCTTAATGTTACCAGAATTCTAAGCTTCGAATAAGCTTAAATTTTAAGGTACACCTTTTTTTTTTTTTAACAATTTGGTTGTATGACTTCGGTTAGACTTTTATTGACCTAAGCATTAGAGTGTCTTTGATCGGTCATCCCCAAATCCTTGACAATTTGTTCGTTTTATTATAGGAAGAAAATACATTTTATTAATATATCTGAAAAATCAAAACACTTAGTTTCCATGATATCATCAATATCAAGTGAGATTTTTCCCCAGTATAATAACCATCTATGCCTCAAGGCAAGGGAAGCTTAAGCGGACTGCTGTACTCGAAGGTAGGAGATGGAAGTGATGTTAGACGTTGGGAAGACCCTTGGATTCTAGGACATCTTTAGCTTTAGAATATGGGGCAGAGTAGTATTTTGAGATTATAAGAGCTAATTACGTAGCCTCACAGAATATGAAACTCAGAACTTATCCACTGGGAGTTTTGCACTAGAAATAGCCAGGAAAATCCTTGCAATTCTGTTAGCAGAAAACACTGCAACAGGATATTCTAAGATGGTCCCATACAAATTCAGGCTACTACACAGTGAGAAGTGGCTACCACATGCTGAAACAATCTTTAGGTGCCCTTCAACATAACACAACTGCAAGCTCATCTTTCAATGGAAAATGATTTGGGGCTTAAAAGCACCTCAAAATATTCAGTATTTTCTATAGAAGGTTACAAATGGAGCACTGACAACCAAATAGGCACTATGGAGAAAGTAAACTCTCTCAAAACCCTACATGTTCAATTTGTGGAGAGGAAGACGAAACTGTGGAACATCTCTTATTGTTATGCCCTTAGACTACTACAATCTGGAAGAAGTTTCCTTTTGGACTTTACCATTGATAGATGTGGAATTACAAGGATAGAGATATGGTTTTTGCAAGAATTTGAGGAGTTAGCAAGGATAAACAATATGGAACAACTAGGATAAGTCTTGCTAGCATTCATATGCTGGTTCATCTAGAAAGCACGCAATGAATGGATATACCAACGCGGCCAACCAAATTGTGATAGAGTACTCTCTTAAGCAATAACAACCAATGCAAAGATGCAAGGGTTAAGGGAAGAAGAAGGAGCCCATATTATCACAACTCAATAGCAACCAATGCAAAGATGCAAGGGTTAAGGGAAAATTAATTGCGATGGAGCCTACTGTGAAGAGAGCAATAGTGCATCATATGCAACAATGACACAACCACGAGGAGCTTCAACAACGATAACAGTATCTTCTCTGTTGGCTGTTGAAGTTTTTGTAGTGCGAAGTGCTTTTTGTGATATTTCAAATATTGTAAAAATCACTTATTAAAATTTTTGATTTGAAACACGTAATTTAAAACAAAACAGTAACAGTCATGAACGAAACAGTTGTAGTAATATGTATGAAACAATAACAGATACAAACAAAGGAGTAGCACAATAAATATGTATTTAAACAATATAAAAACTGACCCGTTTGCAGAACATGAACTGTTATTAAATTTTAAGTAGATTAAAGTTAGTGTTTGACACTATATCCTTAAGACATATTTCACCCCTACACACGGTGCTTATAAAAATCAAAACGTCTTCCTCCCAAGATATAATGATCTTCACGCGAATAGATGTAACACTCTAATCTACTTGCCCATCGAACCAGATATTATGTTATGTACTCTCCAGATGTAGACTGTCTTATTGCCAAAATATAATGTACTAATGTTTGTTTTAACTTCGAAAATGATTGATGCAGAATGGTAATGAGTCTATGTTTATATAGACAAACTGGTGATTGTTCTAGACAATCAACATGCGAAAAGACACAACCCAGAAGAAGGCACACATGCTGCCAAAAGACACCAATATGTAACTGTTCAATTTTGAATAGATGCAATTAAAATTTGGAACTAAAGGGAACACTAATCCGAACCAGTGTGAATTTTAAATCCAACAGATACTGAAATTAAATTTCGAATCAAGAAATTCACGTCCAATTTATTAAACGAATTTTCTCCAAAATGATAGGGCTTGGTCACACCCATACCCAAGCCTAATCGAGTCGTGGCATGGAGGGCGGGTGGCTTGAACGTGTGTGGTTGAACCAAAGACATATAGGCGCTCGCTCCACTCATAAATATGTCCATGTAAAATTTTTTCTTAAATTAATGTGAGATTGATGTCAAATCCCACATGGCACAACCTTTATTTTTACATTTCACGAGGGTTACTTTGAAACCTATTTTCTCATTCATTTTTTACTTGATTTGCGCAAGTGAATATATTACATTATTCTCTTCACGGAATATAATACGAGCTCACGAAAGTTTACTTGAAACCATGAAAGAGTCCCATTTTAATTTAAATTCAAAGTCAATCAAAAATTTAATTTTTACACATAAAAATTATTTTGGTCAAACACGTAGAACTCGTACACTGACGCTAGATAATGGCTATGGGGAGGTGATATTGGAATCAAACTTAAAGGTCCTTATAAACTCTCTCGATCAAAGGACCAGAAACAGTTATAAGAGACATTGAGGCCCTCCTTTAGGACATATGGCAATACACAAAGCAATTAGCTAGTGTTAGATATAAATACACAAGGAGATCTTATAATTTAGCAGCACACACATTGACTATGCAATCCAAACATGACATTCTTCCTCCTTACTGATTTACCTCTCCTCTAAAACAGCTGATGTAAATCATTCTCAAAGAAGTTAGGATAGGAATATGTACTATAAAAGGACAGGTTTTCTGTGTTTTTTTAATGAAAGTTTATTAAAAAAAAAAACAAACCCAAGTTTCTCGATCAACATAGTTTCTGAAGTTGAACAGTGATGGAGCAAACAACAAAAATGGTCTTATTATTATATTATTTTTTATATAAACATTCAGCAACAATCCGTTGTCGTCCAGCGGTTAGGATATCTGGCTTTCACCCAGGGGACCCGGGTTCGATTCCCGGCAACGGAAAATGCTTTTAGCTAAAAAACTAATTATTTTGTAAACTTAAATGCTATAAATAAATATAACAGCACAGAAGTATTGATTTTAATAGTTGTAAAACACTTTGAATTTATTCAACCAAACAAGTGTTTGTTGAAACCTTCTCTTCCGCATTAACCCCCCCACACACACACCTCCACAGCACTTTTCCCTCTCCCATCTATCAATCCTCATCGCTATCTTCATTCCTTTTCTTCCCCTTTTCCTCCATCCCATGTTCAATTTTTCTCTCTCCTTTTCTTATTAGCTCAACCCCCATTTTGATCCCTCAATCTGCCCCCATTTCCTTTTTCTTTCTTTCCTTTTTTTTTTATCACCCATTCACCACAACCTCCATTCCTAATCAAACCCAAATCCTTAGTCCCAGACATTTATTTTTTTGTTTTTTGATCTTTCTTTTGGTGGGTTTGTTTAAAAAGGGCCAAAAAGATTACAAAGAAAGGAATTATGGTTTTTAGGGCGGTGGTGTTGGGATTGGTTTGAAAGAAGGAGATGGAAAGTGGGGTTATGGTCATGAAACAGTTCTCGATTTCCTTCAATTCCTCATTCTCAATATCATCGAGTTCATTGGATCTCGATGTTGTTAATTTCGGATGTCGATCCCGATACCATACGCGATCGGCATTCGATTCCTATGCCATTGCTGCAGAGGCCTTTTCCGAACATTCCTTAATCGGAAAACTTCTTTGATCCAGTTTTGGACTGATTCTTTTTACTTTCCATATCTCCTCTTCCTCCTCCTCGTATCTTCTTCTGTTCGTTTATTCACCAGAATGAATTACGGTGCTGGGTTAGCATTGCCTCATTCTGGTAATGGAAATGGTTTTGTGTTTCCTGTAAATAATATCAAAGACGGTTTGCTTGCTGGTAGTGCTGAGCCTCCTGACCCCGAGGCCGACTATGTCGAGAAGGACCCCGGAGCCCGCTACTTTCGGGTAATTCCATTGCAGTTCACGCCCGAAATTTTTGCAATGTCGTATTGATTCAACGTCATTTATTGAATTGTTTAGTTCATGAATTTGTGATCCAAGAACCTGTCAGGGTTGTATTGAAGCTGCAGCTATAGTCAGATATTTATGACTCCAACATCATCGAATTGAGCTACCAGCTCATGCCCATGATGTAATTAATTGTGGCTGAATGTTCTCTTTTTCCACTTTCAATCTGAAAAAAACGAATTACATGGTAGCAATTATTTGCTTCTTCGTCATTGATTTATGGCATAGATTTTTACATGAAATCGATACTGCATTGTTTGTTGGTTTAGAAAATTTTACAATATTGTGTAATGGGTTGTCAGGCTGAAATTTGGCTGTTCTTTTGTTTTGGCTGCTACCAAAATGATAGTTTACATTTCTTTTTTCGAGTCTTCTAGGTAAACAAGCAATCAACTATTGGAAACATCGGGTTTGGTTTGATTCTGCTATTATACGTTTACCATGAGAATTATCATTCTCAATTTTTATTGTTATTTCTTTTTGATTCATCTCTCTCTCTCTCTTTTTTTCATCTTCTGCAGTACAGTGAAGTCTTGGGCAAGGGTGCATTCAAGACTGTGTATGGTTCCAAACTTAATCTTTCATTATATTTGTCATTTTAACTTATAGTGGGAGGCCAGGAGGTACAGTCAAACTATTAATTCTGTGTCGAAAGAAGAGTTTTCCGCTCTGTGAATGATTCCTCTTTGTTTTCTTATATACTTATTTGTAGCTACAAGGCATTTGACCAACTTGATGGGGTTGAAGTTGCCTGGAACCGGGTGAAGATTGATGATGTGTTGCGGTCACCAGAAGATTTGGAAAAATTGTATTCTGAAGTTCATCTTCTTAGACAGATGAAACATGAAAATATCATCAAGTTCCATGATTCATGGATTGATGATAAGAAGAAGACTGTTAACATGATCACTGAGCTCTTCACATCTGGGAGTCTGAGGCAGTGAGTTCTACTTATTGTTGCACATTTGTTTGTTTGGTCATTGTGGGATCTAGAACTAATTGTTTATATCTTTATCATTAGATATCGCAAGAAGCATAGAAGTGTTGATATGAAGGCAATAAAGAACTGGGCAAGACAGATTCTCCGAGGTCTAGACTATCTTCATAGTCAAAACCCACCTGTTGTTCACAGGGACTTGAAATGTGACAATATTTTTGTCAATGGAAATCATGGACAAGTTAAAATTGGAGACCTTGGATTGGCAACTGTTATGCAGCAGCCTACTGCTAAGAGTGTTATTGGTGGGAGTGAATACCATGAATCTATGTATTCTGAAAAACCAAAGCACTTTTTTAGAATTTGAAAGTACTGACTATATGCCTGTCCATAATAGGGACCCCCGAATTCATGGCTCCGGAGCTTTATGAAGAGGAATACAATGAACTAGTTGATATATATTCCTTTGGGATGTGCATGCTGGAAATGGTTACGTTGGAGTATCCTTATAGTGAGTGCAAGAATCCTGCTCAAATTTATAAGAAAGTTACCTCTGTAAGTTTACCAATCCTCGGCTTGTCATGCTATCATCCATTAGCTGTTACATCGGTGAAACTCAGAATAATCACATAAAATGTCTCGCATTTCAGGGCGTTAAACCTGCTTCCCTTGGCAAGGTGAGCGATCCCAAAGTCAAGGAATTCATTGAGAAATGTCTGGTTCCAGCATCTGAAAGATTAGCTGCCAAGGACCTTCTTAAAGATCCATTTCTTCAATCTGACAATTTGAAGGAGCCCATTCGCGATTCCCTTCAGTTACCTAAACAACTTCCTAGATCATTAAGTTTGTTGAACAGTGGGCCTCTTTCCATGGATATAGATCCTGAGTACAACCACTCCGTCTGCACAGATTCCATATGCGGAAGCCCGAATTCTCCAGCTCTGGAATTTCAGAGGATGCATCATAATAATGAATTTAGGTTGAGGGGGAGAAAAAATGATGACAACTCAATATCACTGACCTTGCGCATTGCTGACCCTTCTGGTAAGTCAGCAAGCAGTAAATTTTTCTGCTATGTTTTCCAGAGTTGTAGTTTGTGATCATTCTTTGTGACTTGCAGGCCGAGTAAGGAATATACACTTCCTCTTCTACCTTGATACTGACACAGCACTGTTGGTTGCTGGTGAGATGGTTGAACAGCTGGAGTTGGCAGATCATGACGTAGCTTTTATTGCTGAGTTTATTGATTACTTAATAAAGAGGATTCTCCCTGGTTGGAAACCTTCATCTGATTATCACTCCAGTGGAGGGATAAGTACATATGAAGGGCCTCCTGCAAATGACTTATCCTCAATGGCGAATCAGTGGGATATAGTCCTAAACAGTGGTCCTACCAAGTCATTGGTTGAGCAAGATCTCTGTGAATTTAATCCATGTCCTGGAGAAGTTTGTCTGCAATCTGATGAAAGTTACTTGTTTGTGAATTCTGATTGTGTCTCTCCTCATGGTGCATTGAATACTCCTCCAAGTTTGGCAAACTCAGAAGATAAAGAGTCACAATCATCAGTTGCTTCTGAATTAATGGGTGAAGATGCTTCTACGAGGAATGAGACAATGGCTGGATGTGTTGAACATGGTACTGATGGAGTATCAAAAGGTTCTAGTGGACATATCTCTGAGGTGGAGTTCAATGATTTCTGTTATGAGGAGTACAAAATGCAGGGAGATAATAGCGGTGGTGTAGAATGCATATCAGTGAACAAATTTGCAAAGAACTCAGAATTTCCTCCTGCAAATTTGAAAGGAGCATCTAAAGTTATGAGCTTGACAAGCAGCTGTTCATCTTTGTCCTTATCAGAGAAAGATCAGTACATGGACCTAAAATTGGAGCTCAATGCTATTGAAGCACAGTATCAACAATGGTTTCAAGAACTCTCAAGAATGAGGGAAGAAGCCATGGAGGCCACTAGGAAGAGATGGATGACGAAAAAGAAGCTGGTTGTTCATTAAATAAGAGCTGTTGAACATTTCATTTTTAGGTCCCAAATTTTTTCTATGCTGTTCCAAATTTCCATATAGATTTTAATTTATCACTTGAATTTCTATCGTATTCATATATTATTTGAATGTGTATTGGATGCGGCTTGCTTCTGCAGAAGTAAGGATCTCTTCAATGATCTATTCGGACTCCATTCTTTATTTGAGGGCAGAAGAATACGTTGGAGTGCAGATAATTCTTCAGTTTTGCTCATGTTGCACCTCATCTGCTCCTTTATTTCTTAATTTTTGCTAATGCCATGCCTCAACTACCGATCATATTTCAGGTTCTTGAAACTGCAATGGGTACGGTACGACCAGCTGAATATTCAAGCACAGGGGATCGATCATATTGACCTCCGTACTGTTTTGCACATAAAGTAGCATGAGAATTAGTGGACTTCTCTACTTGATCTCTTGTTACTCCCACTTTATTGCACTCTAACAGAGAACACTTGATCTGATTGCTAATTCGGTTTCCAGACCTCGTACTAATTATTATTTTTGAGGTTCACTCCACCTCACCCACACTCAGAACAAACATCACCTTTTTAATATTCCGGTGGTTTGTGTATGACCTAGCTATATGTTATCCCTTTTAGCTCGTTGGTTCGGTATTCACATGTGACTGTTTCGTTCAAAGGTATCTATGTCTTAGTCCAATTGGGTTGTGCTTAGTAAAGTAAACCCTTAGTGCAAAGTTGACTTTCTAAGTACTTGGACATGTATATGGCTGGGTTATAAAGTAGTTCGGCAAAGACTCAAATGATATATAACAATTATGCTTCTGGCTCAAGTTATTATAACTTATCGGCTCAGAATATGTTTTTTCCTGTCAATTGGAATTTTCTCACTAATACTATTATAAGGGGGGAAGGGGATGCTCCACAAGGCCAGCCTCCCTAAAGACCTCTATGCCCCTAAGCCTTCGCACGCTAAAGCACGACATGACTTCAACAAATACTTGTCATGGGTGTAGGTAAGGCATTTCAAAGTTTGAGATCTGAGATGTGAGACCGATGATTAGTGGGACATGTCGTTGGCAAAAGCCTCATGCATGACTAAGGAAGGCAGCGCATGCATGGGCATGTTGGGAACGACCAATGGAGTGATTGAAGTCCCATGCATGAGTGAGGAAGACAACTCATGCATGGGCATGTTGGGTACAAGCAAGCAAGACTACATTTTTCGTTTATTGTGTGCTTATGTGAGCAATTGTGTGCATTGATTGAGACTGAGTGTTGGATCTCAGTGCCATCGTGAGGCAAAAAATTCAAGTGTAATTTGACCCCGTGACAATTGGTATAAGAGTTACAATTTTCGATCATGGCTGATGGAAACGCTGCTGAATTATGTGAATGTGTGACCTGTTAGAGGATTCTCTGGGCGCTTGTGCTGGTGATGCTACAACCAGTGTGTCTATGCAAATGGAGCAGCATACTGTTCAGATTGCAGGCTTAAGAATGGCCCTCAACAATTATGTGATAGAAATTGACTTTAAGATTGCAAAAATGATGGAGGACATTTTTGTCCTTCACTGATGCTGTGAAAGACCAATTTCAAGGATCTTGAAGACGAACTAACTCTAGTGAAAAGGGCTATGCATTCTTGACTTGTTATGGGCGAGACATTTGCAAAGATCAAGGTCCTTGAACCTAAAGCTTTAGGAGGTACCTGGAGTGCCAAAGAACTTGAGAACTTTCTATGGGACATGAAGCAGTACTTCAAAATTGCCCATGTGCCTGCGAGACAGAAAATGACCATAACCAGCATGTAACTTTGCGAGGTGAGTCAAAATCGAGACGTGGGATATGTTAAAGAAAGAGTTAAAGGATTAATTCCTTCTTAGCAACACGATGTGAATTGCTAGGGAGTCGCTTAAGAAATTAAAGCACACGGAAACCATTCGTAACTATGAGACAAAGTTTAGTCTTTGATGCTAAATATCAAGAATATGTCCTAGGAGGACAAGCTCTTTAATTTCATATCTGGTTTGCAAGGCTAGGCACAGGTTGAGTTGCGTAGGTAAGGGGTGCGCGATTTGCACACTGCCATGGCTGCTGCGGATGACCTAGTTGACCTCAAAATGGACAACAGTCAAGGCCCTTTTGAAAAGAAAAAGAGGGATAATAGCGACAAAAAAGACAAGATTGGCACTTCCAAAGACGTAGATGAGACAGATTGGAAGAAAAAGATGAATGGAGGTGATTCTAAAATTCCAGACAACAACTAGAAGAAGAAAAACTTCGATTCTGGTTACTTTCTTTGCAGTGGCTCTCATCGTGCTAAAGACTGCCCCAAACAGGAGAAGTTAAGTGCCATTTGTAGCTGAAATTGGAGATGATAGTGACGATGCATATCCAATTAGGTTAATCCTCTGTAAATTGCTAAACGAAATTACTATGGGAAATGTTCAGTAACCTCGTAAAGGTCTTATGTTTGTGCAAGCTTGGGTGAACGGTAGAGGTGTTCACCCTACCTTATAAGTACGATTTATGATATTTCATCTTTCTACCCGATATTTTGCGGAAGAATTTTTTCTTGACCTACCCTATCTGATCAAGTATACTATTCCTACTCAAATTCCGTCCAAAACAATCGGGTAAGAAGTCGGGTGAACACATATTTTTTATTTATTAATTTTTAATCATTTTAATAATTTAATGAAGTAACTTGCACCAATTAACTAACATAATAAACTAATATCATTAAAGAAAACACAGTAAATTCAATAATAAATAAATAATTACAATAAAACACAATAAAAAAGCCATAAATATCAATACATCATATATAAGAAAGTCATAAACATCAATAAAACATTAACATTTCTAGATTTTTGAATTTTAATTTTTAGCTATTTGGTATTCTAGATATGGAATTATAACTTGACACGTGGTAATACTTACGCCTGTAATACAAGAAATCATTTAAAACCAATAATACCAACCACTAATCTTTTGGCCCGTAGTTGACATAGAACTCTAGCAAGCTCAAAGCTGTCAATTCTAAAGCAATGCCAATGCGTGGCATTGAAGAGACATGCTTGAAAGTGGGTTTATAGGAATGTCAGCTGAGCTTGACAGCTATACTCTTGGAAGACTTTGATATTATCCTCGGGCATAAGTTTTTCATAAAGGCCAAGGTGGTGGTGATGCTACATTTAAATGAGATGTGAATCTTGAATGAGGGAGCAACATGCTTTGTGCCTGCAGTGGTGGCAGACCAAAGCAAAAAGGATGACAAGCGAAAACTGAGCTGGAATTTGTTGAGGATATGCCTCCAAAACTCCCTAAGACCTTTGAATCTAGACGTGGAATTGACTACAAATATGAGCTGGAGCATGGTGCAAAGCTTCCAACTCGTGTCCCTTATTAGATGTCGCCTGTGGGACAACATCAGTTGCTCATTTATGGAGTGGTGAGACAGATGACCAGATGCCCTACTGTATACTAATTTTCTCATTCCAAGCAAGGGTTGCTTGTAAAGACAAAGGACAACTTGGTCAAAGCTGCCCGTCGAAGGAAGAAGAATGTTGATCCTAATCAGATGAAGGAGTATCGAGACAATCTCTTGACGAGGACGTCAATCACTTTTGGTGGGGTGGTTTGTTACCCCTTTAGCTCATTGGCTTGGGATTGACATGTGATTGTCTCGCCCAAAGGTGCCCATGTCTTAGCTAAATTGGGTTATACTTGGTGAAGCAAACCCTTAGTACAAAGTTGGCCTTCTAAGGACTTGAACGTGTATTTGGTTGGGTTATAGAGCAGTTTGACAAAAGGCTCAAGTGGCATATAACGATTATGCCCCTGGCTCAAGTTATTATGACTCATCGGCTCAGTGTATGTTTGTTGCTGCCAATAGAGATTTACTCACTAATGTTATTATAAGGGGGTGTTCTGCGAAGGGGGTGTCAGGTTAGCCTCCCTAGGGACCCCTATGCTCCTAAGACTTGGCACACCAAAGCAAGCCATGCCCCAACAAATGCTTGTCATGGGTGTAGGCAAAATATTCTAAAGTTCGAGACCCAAGATGTGGGGTCGATGAACGGTTGGACCCATCGTAGGTAGAAACGCCATGTATGGCTAAGGAAGACAATGCATGTGTGGGCATGCTAAGCACGACCAGTGGATTGATTGAAGCCACATGCATGGCTGAGGAATGCAACTCATGCATGGGCACGACCAGTGGGATGATTGAAGGCACATGCACGACTGAGGAAGATAGCTCATGCATGGATACGACCAATGGGTTGATTGAAACACCATGCATGGCTAAGGAAGATAGCTCATGCATAGACACATTGGGCACAAGCAAGCAAGTAAGCAAGACTAGCCGATGTGCTTGAATTACGGTGCATTGCTAGCTTGAAAGACTAAGCCATGAGTTAAGCATGACTTGACACAGAGGCAAGGCAAAACAGGTGTTTTGAGCTCGCAAAGAAGATATGTGCACATCATGTGAGATGGTTTTGAGCAGTTGAAGCATGTACACTACAGGTAGTGACAATTCTAAATAGTTGTTGGAATATGCATTGCATGCAGAGCAATTCTATGTAGAATGCTGACATGTGCACATCATGAGGAAAGTTGATGGCATGTGGACACAACATACAAAGCAGTTATAGACAGTTGCTGACTGGGTCAACTAATAGTTACAACTGTCCCTGCCATAATCAACACATTATGAGAGTGGCAAAAAGATTAAGCCATGATCAATAGGCCTTGGGGGTGAATCTAATGAGCGTTTGCATTACCTAGATGGTTGGACTTATAATCGCCACATTTTATGCTATTTATAGGCATGTTAGGATCTGCAGTGCACCCAAGAGAGTTTGAACACATTTTGTAAACAGACCCTTACCCAATTTCCTTTAGACTTGTTGATAATTAAAAGATTTGGCCATTTAGCTTGTAATATTCGTGTGCCTAGTATGAGTTTGTGTGCTTGTTCATATTCTATTTATTATGTGCTTCTGTAAACAATTATGTGCATTAGTTGAGACTGAGTGTTGAATCTCAGTACGATCATCAAGAAAAAAATTCAAGTGTAATTCGAGTGTTATTCGGTCTCAGTTGGATCTCTAAACTCACATAATAACTAAATACAAAGCAAACTGATTATGGGCAAATTAATAGTATGCAAAGACATAAACAGCGACAGGTGTTTGCATGAAAAACCAACACAGAAGTCAGGCAGATTAAGCCATTCCCTTATTCACTGTTTGTTAAGTATTCAACAAATAACCAGACGGCATGAAACATAGACACACCCAAAAAAAAAAAAAAAAATCCACCACAACAAATTTATGGAGAGAGAGAAAGAGAGAGAGAGGTTGGTTTGGTTGTATTTTGTTTTTGTTTGTTTGGATGGCAAAGGAAGCTTCGTAGAAAGATGAACTCCTCAGAAATTAAGCAAATTCCGCATGACTGGATGTGTCATGACACTAACGTATAACCACTAAGGTCCAATATCCCCCACCTCCTCCAAACGCACCTTCCTGGAAACCCATCAAATGAGAATAAAATGTCTATGAAATCATTTACCGTGACAAATACACCCATATTTTGGGAATCCAGAGTCTATCATACATCGTACGTGTCTAGTCCCCCGTTAATCATCCATCCACTCAGATAGCACCATCTAAGATCAGATAGCACTCACTCACTACTCCAATTAAACACCAATCAGTCCCATTGCAAAGCAATGAAACAGGATTCCCCATTCCTATAAAGACCTCCCCAGGTCCTAACACCATCCTTGTCAAACAGCTTCGGGTGCATTTGATTGAAACTCTCACAGTTTCTTTCTGGATACCAAAAAAAAAAAAAAACAGAATGGCAGATAAATCCATGGGAAGCCATTATGAAGATTTGATGCCCGTTATGGCGGAGAAGCTAGATGTGGATACCTTCGTGTCCGAACTCTGCGCGGGATTCCGGCTTCTGGCAGACCCCGGAAGGGGGTTGATTACATCGGAGAGTCTGAGGAAGAATTCTGCACTTCTGGGTATAGAAGGGATGAGCAAAGAAGATTCAGAGGCGATGTTGCGCACAGGGGACCTTGATGGAGATGGGGCACTCAATGAGACCGAGTTTTGCATCCTCATGGTTAGACTAAGCCCTGGAATGATGCAAGATGCAGAAACATGGCTTGACAAGGCACTTGATCGAGAGCTGGGACAATCCTCTTCTTATTAGCTGATCTTGGTAATGTAATCATCATACCAATAATCAATATTTTGTTCCTACTTTAGTTCTATATTAAATAGTTGGGAAAATGTAACGAGATCTAACAGAGGAACAGAAATCATTGATATCCCAGCCAACATGACTGTTGAAACCCATTTCACAAACCAGCTGACTATTGCCCTTGAGCTTTGGTCTGACAGTCTCAGTTTCAAATGGGTCCCTAAACTAATTTTTGTCTCAATTTTAAAGTGGGGATATTGAAACCCCCATGTTCACCATACAATCGCCGGAATTTTCTGGTGTAGGCGATGCCAAGACATAAAGTCAAATAAAACACCGACGCCATCGGGAGAGGGATTATATATACAACCCAAATCAGCTAAAAAAAAGACCCATATAGATGCTTGTCAACATATTCATACCAAGCTCCTGCTGCTGCACCTATGCTGAAAAAGACAGGGAGAAAAGGTTAGAGGTAGTTGATACTTACAAAATAATAAACAAAGAGAAATAAAATTGACAACCCATCATGATAATAGAAACCAATAAAATAAGATATTAATAAAATCGAAAGCAATTATGATTCACAATTATATGTGTCCATTGTATACAATTATATTCTTGATAGAGGCTGAAAATTGATTAAAGTTTCTCTCAGAAAAAAGTACAGCCACTTTGAATGATTCAAACAGGTGAAGCAATAACAATAACCTGTACCGCTACAAATCCATAAACTACAATACAGACAAATCAAACCTGGTAAACAAAGTTCAACAAGCTTCTTACTCCGCCTGATGTACCTAAAGCAACGGCAGACCTCCATATGTCACGTTAACTTGAGCACCATCTGTTTCAACCCTATACTAACTATCTCATCTTCTAGACCTTCAAACAGGTGACACCAATACTCAGACAAAGGAGATAAGGGGAAAGATGGGGGAAAAAGAATATGTCAAACAATAAATGACAAGCAAATTGAATCTGAGTACATGAAGAAGAAGAACGACAATCATAACAAAACATAATCTAGAAAGCAAACATATACCTGCGATATCTGCCATATTCAGGACTCCCACGTCTTTCACCTGATGGACCATTGTGCTTACCATAAACTGGACTGCAAACATGCCCATAATCAGGACTTGGTCGGCTGCTGCAATAAACTGGACTTGGTGACCCCTATAAGGACTATCCCCATGGCTACTGTAGTCACTTCAAGGGCTATCATATCCATCTCCCCTCTCATCATCATCCCTCAAAGCATACTCAACAGACACCGCCCTGTCCAGCACCTTGCTGCATAATTAGACCATCCAACAATTTACCAGGCCATATACAGAAATTTCAACAGCACAACATAAACTGTATGCTTCACCTCAAGTGTGTGCACTCCAGAACCCGTGGCATCTTCCTGTGTTTCAAACTGCACAAATGCAAAGTATGGATGAATTCTGATATGAACCTTCTCATAGGGCTCAAAGTGTCTTTCTATATCTTGGGCCCTTGTGCAAATGGGATCAAAGTTTATCACCAACAAGGTTTTTGTTGGTCACTGACTTCCCCTCAACCTAGAGTCGTCACAATGCTTGCCACGTTCACCCTGCCAGAAGTGAGGTAGTGATAGTACTTCCATTCAAGATAAAACTAATGGATGCTGAGCGCTTGCTAACAGTCTCTTAGCAGCACTCTGGAAATGAATGAGGACTGACGAGTCATGAAACAAATAGGAAACAACGTACCCTAGCCCATTTTACCGACAACCTCCATCTTTCATATCTAAATGGTGTGTTATGAAGTCCAAGTATGACATCTTTCACATCCCGCTCATCCTCGAAATAAACAAAAGCAAACCCTGCAGTGATAAAACACAATTAAGAACAGAAATAACAAATGAGATTGGAATTTGACCTGCTCAGCAAGTAATCTATTAGCAAAATGAGGATTCTTTTCCCTGACATAACAAAATAAATATACAACATCTGCATATAAGTGAAGGGTTGATGAGCATAGGAAGTAGTGGCCCTGCATGATGAACTAAATCATGATAATGGCAAATTAAAGGTTTAAATCTGAAGTCTCAGGTCTGATTGTCATTGCTAGGCTAGGCATGCTTCAACATTTTCACAGCAGGAGTTCAGTAATGGCATGATAGAATTCATTGATCCCCTTAAAATCAGTGGTGGTAGGTATGGCATGATGAATTGACAGATCCCACCATGACCATTCCTGTAAAATGGCAACTTTTGGCATTGAGGCCAGTAGGTTACAGAAGATCAAGTGGATGAAATGCAGGATGATTCCATCTGTAAGTAGAGAAGGCAGGCAAACAAGTTCCCTTAGCATTAGATGTTTGTTGAGCAGAAGTGAGTGAGCCGATATAGAAGCTCAAATTCCCTCAATACATGTTCCTGTGTCAAAACAAAACTTAAACATGGAGGTCTACCCCCAAAGAGATTTTATAATTTTGGCTGCCATTCCAACTCTCATCATAATTACATAAAATGTATATATACACCACATATGCATCCGTATATCCATTGCAGTGAATCACTGGTTCATATACCTATTCACAGTGAAAGCTATAGCTGGCTGCATGGCATCATTAGGAGGGACCAAAGTCAGAAGACTCAGAAAGCACCCCTGACTAACCAACATGGATAGGATGGACAATAACAATTCAGAAAACAAGGTGCCGGATAAGTAAAAAGGAAAGTAACGGTTTCTTACAGAACAGATACAGCAAACACAGCTCAAAAATCTTAAATTTTAATCTATAAGAGTTCAATCAAAACAAAAAAGGTGTAAGCAACAAACAAAACCGGTACACTCATCACTGAGACGAGCCATCAAAATTTGAGGCTTAAAGAATTACTAGTATAGAGAAAAGGAAAAAAAAATATACAGGACCCTTGCAAGATCATTGTTTAAATATCATTAAGAAAATTAGTATATCATCAATAAATGAGTCACCAAACACTCACAAAAAGGACATAAAATCAATGAGTTCACCCCATAAACAAACAATATCAGACCACTAACTATAATGGAAATCTATATGTACATACATACATACATATATATATTTAAAGGAGAGTGTAAGTTTGTCTCTTTAGTATATTCTAGGTGAATATTAGTATATAGTAAAGGAGGGCATAAGTTGGATCTCTTAGGTGTCGCCATCAACTGCTCAAAATCATCTGCCCATGTCATACAAAGGTAGGATCCTAAGCCGTTTGATACTTGGGCATCGTCTTTCCACTCCATTTTTATCCTCTCTTTAATTGGGCAGTCATGACCCTCATCACGTCTGCTTTCTTTCAAGTATATAATGTATTTCAATGATCACCAGTAATAATTTACAAAAATCTCATCAAGAAAGTAGACAAAATATACATACCAGATTTCATGGCAACATTACACACGCTCGACCCGCCCGTATTTAGAGAAGAGAACAGTCTTCGATTGGCGAGTCTCATTCTCCAAGTTACCTACAAAACAGAAACCGGCCTCCTCTTCACAACTCTATACCCAAAGAAAGAAAGTACCTTCAAATAATCAAACAACATTCAACAATTTCTGAACAAAACACAGGATGGTCATACTCATTACTCATACCTGTTTGTTTGCTTAGAATTACCAGAAAACAACTTCTTCAAATCTCGGTTTAGAACTACGGTGGCGTAATTCTGTTCCGCGTTGTTAAGTTATCGAGTCCTCAATGCCAAAATGATCATATAGAGAATAGAAGTTTGGAAAGCCCTTTTCTTTTATTGCCCTCCATTTTCCAGGCAACCAAACTGAGGGTTAAGATCAATCCTAGTAGTCCTCAAACTTTTTGTCATCAAGAAATTAGTTGTGCGTCTGAGAGAGGAAGACATGGACAGAGATCCGCGCGCTTAAAGAAACGTCCCTATGCAATTCGATTCGGGGAGCCAAAAACCCTAGCAAAATAACCAGGCGGAATTACACTTTGTACCCTTAAAAAATTTGGTAATAATTTTTATTTTTATATATTTCATATTATAACGTGGTTATTTCGTTAATTTTTGTTATTTATTTCGTCGAAGTCAATAAAATAATTTTTTAAAAAGTTAATGAAAAGGCCACGGTACATAATTTTTAATATATTGAGATATAATGTGAGAAATTCGGCAAAAAATAAAAAAAATTATTAAATTTTTTAATGTACAAAGTGAGATTCAAGTATTTCTATTTTATACCCGTAAAGATTAAATTTTTTATAGCATACTCTCAATATATTAAATGTGTTATAATATGATATTTTTGTTTGTTTTCGTTATTCATTTTGTGAAATTTAGTGGTATACGTTTTGACGGAATAAATAAACAGAAAGGTCACGTCACGTCACGTTAGAATAATTTTAATACATTGAGAGTGTATAATAAAATAAAATAAAAAAATTTGATTTAGTTTGTTTAAAACAATAGATAGTTGAAGCATCTTATCAAATTTGGGTAGAGTGTTCGGGATTAACATTTCACTGCTGCGGCAAAAACCAACTCTCTCACCTCAAAAACATCGCTAGCAACATAGAGATAGCGGTACTAATATAATATTATATCCAACAAATATTATGTTTACATTTAATATCGAGATCCAGATATTTGAACTGATTTAAATAGCTTAATCAAATTAAATTTTAACAAGTTCATTTGAAATTTCAAGTTAGTTTTTATTGAATAAGCATTTAATTTTGTCACATTTTGTAGTATGTATAAATTTGTTTGAATTGTACGAATGAAATAATATCACATCAGAAACAAAGTGATAGTAGTCTTTGGATGCTGCTTTGTTCTTTTTTTTGTTTTTTGTTTCTCGTGCTGAACGGTGGTGGGTGAGCATGCAGAGCCTGTACAAGTATTTTGGATCCCCCCCCCCCCCCCCCCAAGCAGGGCCCTGTACAAATTGCAATGCAAGCCACCCCCACCAAACATATTAATGTCTCCTCTCCTCTCCCCGCAGTAAAATGAAAATAGCCCCGTCTTTACCAAAGAAATTAAATGAAAGTTGTCACCCCACCAACAACCCCTTTTACCTTTAATAATGAGTTCAACCTTTGTAATGCCAAATTAACCTTAAATTATAATAAATTCATAAATAACGACAAGGACTATTTCGTCAACACATAAAATTCCCGTGAATTTCGCCTGGAATTGAGATTTATTGTCATTGAGTGAGTGGTTCTTGACACACCCTTTGCCACTCACTACTATTAGTATTAGTATGTGCCTAACTTTGCTCAACCATTCCCCTTCAGCAGTACAATCCGGACAGATGGTCTAGCGGTGTCTGTCTTCTTGATTCTAATATAAATTATACACTTGGATATTTAGAATTCAACTATCATTAACCACTCTCAAAGTTAAAATTTATATTCAGTTAGCGGGCGATTGAAATTTACTATAC